TCTTAAGTTATGAAATCACAGATTTGAGCCTCACAGATCCAGGTACTATCAGACTTTGTGAACATTTTTAAAGGAGCTGCACTGGCTGGACTGTAGTGTGGTAATGGAGGAAGCATAGCTTCTTCATGGTGTGTCCAGGGGATTAGGTTTGGGGTTGAAACAGTCTCAAGTCTACAAAGAAAAAAGCATCAGTGTTGAATAGAATACAGTACTGTGTGATATTCTGAAAATGACAAAGTCAAGTGTGCATTCTGATACATTTTCTCTCTGAACAGATATCTTGGTTCTAGCAATCTCAGCAATATATATTGCTATGACATATGTTTGTGAGGAAGTACCCAGATATTAAATTACTGTATTATAAATGTTAATTAAATATTTTTATTACATTCAATTTCAGAGTCATTTTCAGAACACACAGAGCATCAAGAGCAAGAATCTATCAATAAACAGGAAGAGACTGATCCTCTTAGTTGTGCAGTCCCTTCAGTACAAGTTATTTATCATCAGCAGCACTCCTTAGGTGCTCATAACTCCCTGTTGCCCACGGAGGAAGAAAGTACATCTGATCATACACATGTTCAGCAGATCATAGACAAGGATATAAATGAAGCAAATTTGATACCTGACAAAAAAGACTTGCAGGGTAAAATATTTTAAAAGAATATTTAACTTATTCTAGCTTAACTTATTCTTCCTTTTTTTAGTTTTAAGTTTTGTTTGAGCTTCATATTTCTTATGGCCTGCACATCATTTGTGCCAGATAATATTGAGGGCATTATGAGACAAGGTATCTGGGAGCACTGTCTAACTGAAAAATATAAAGGGGCCAGTGAGAAGATATCTTGGCATTTGTTTTGGTTAGGGTTTTACTGCTGTGAACAAACACCATGACCAAGGCAGCTTTTTAAAGAACAACATTTAATTGGGGCTGGCTTACAGGTTCAGAGGTTCAGTCCATTATCATCAAGCCAGGAGCATGGCAGCATCCAGGCAAGCATGGTGCAGGAGGAACTGAGAGTTCTACATCTTCATCCGAAGGCTGCTAACAGAATACTGGCTTCTAGGCAGCTAAAATGAGTCTTAAAGCCCATGCCCTCAGTAACACACCTACTCCAACAGGGCCACACCTTCTAAAAGTGCCATTCCCGAGCATATACAAACCATCACAGCATTAAAGGCACTTGCTATCAACCCTTGATGTAGCTGGCTGAGTTCAATTCACAGAACCTACATTGGTGGAAGGAGAGAACTAACTTCTAGAGGTTACCTCTCACCTACATACAAGCACTTAAGCACTATGGTAGGTGCACCATGGCATATACATGTGCATACACACACATAAATGATTTTTTTAAATTAAAAAAAAAAACAGCTTGAGGAACCTAATGAGGACATCTACCTTTGCCTTTAATCACTACAACTAATGCAGGGATTTAGGTGGGATTTGGAGCATTTGCCATTTTGGGACCATAGAGAAGTTAATTTATCTCTTTTATAAAAGGGGTTGAAATTAAATAAGATAGTACACACATCAACAATAGTACATGTGCCCCATCTACAAGGAAGAGATACTCGGTAATGAAGTAAAGTAAGAGCTCAGAGCTCTTATAGCTAAGTTTTCCCACGTAGTCTTATGTGGCCTGCCACTCCTTTTTTTGTTTGTTTGTTTGTTTTTCGAGACAGGGTTTCTCTATGTAGCCCTGGCTGTCCTGGAACTCACTCTGTATTAGAGATGTTTAAACACTAGTGGACATGTTCTTAGCATTCATTTCCTGGGCTTCATTGAAGTTTTTAAAATTATAGTTATTTTGGTTTTTCTCTTTAAAGTTCCTGCTGTGGACATTGACTTTCCAGAATTGCAACACATATTTCCACACTTGCATCGTCAGCTCTTTAAACCCTTAGAACCACATCTGGATTTTGACTTTTCATCCCCTGGGACTCCTCAAGAAGACAGAGACTTTTACCAGGTATATGTTTACCAGGTTCAGTGCTGAGTATTGATGGATGGGTGATTGAAAGGTGGGGATCAGTCATCTTGAGGAATTTGTAGCTGAAAATGAGAAACTGCTTCACTCCCTTCAGATATGTGTGGCTCCTTGATAAAGGAGGTATCCCACTTATCAATCATTAGGTTTATAGAAACCAGAGGAAGGAATTAATTATCTCACAGCAGTTACAACATTCTGGGCAGAGTACAGGTTCATCTTTTAGGAATTTAGGCCTGGTGCCTGGTTTAGAATGGAATTTCTTTAATCATCACAACTCTGTGACTGTAAAGTTGTAAGGAAAAATACTAAAAGAATATAGTGGATTTGACTGATAACATAGGATCAGTGTTTCAGCCCTTTTTTCTTACTGTCCTCAGCAGTGCTCCTCATCTGAAAAACACATTAAGGCACCATCCACAAGCACAATCTGCTTCACAGCACTGAAGGCCAGCTCGCATTCTCCTAACTCAAGGCTGAACCAACTAGTTGATGTTAACCTGGGTACAACTGACGGTGTGTAACTAAGAGAGAGTGCTAAATCAACGTGAAGATTCTCTCCCATCCCTTCGGCATTTATGCCTCCCACATCATCTGTCCCCTCTCTGGTTTTCAGCATCAGAGGATCTGTTCCTTTAAGCAATATACTTGAATATGCACAGTACTGAGTCCCTTTTGTCCCACCTGACCAACTGCAGTCCTATCTTTGTAGAACTTTATATACATACACACATGCACGCACAAACATGTTCTATTTTTGCTATTCAGAATTCTCATGGGAATAAGCATGGAACCTGAATACATGATTTCTGTGAAAATTGCTGCCCACTGGCTTTATTGAATGTTTATACACATCAACTTTTCCTTCTAAAACTGCATAAAACCTATTTACAGTTTACTAAAAATCTGCTCTATCCAGTGTTGACTTTGTGGGGTTTTTTTGTTTTTTGAATGCAGGATCTGAACAGTCTTTTCAACAGCTCCTACCAGAATTCTCTTCACAGGAAAGCCAACATACTGATCTACCCAGTATTTATAGCATTGAAGCCAGAGGTGCCGCCCAAAGCATGGAAAACTATTCTGAAATATTACAAACTAAGGAAAAAAGTATCTATCTTCAGCCCTCAACAGGAAATTTGAGTCCAGCCTGCAGTTCAACTGATACTACTCTATTTGATCAGTTACACCTGCAGCACAGCACCCCATGGGGTTCTACCTCTACTGAGTGCTCAGTAAAACAATTAGGAAGCAGAGAAATGCTGGGTTTTGAAGATCTGTCAAGAGCAGTTACAATGTCACAAAGACTCACTGAAGATAAAAATACAGCTTTACCTATAAACCCACATGTAGGAACAGCAGAGATAGAAACTTCAGTTCAGGGGTCGAATTCGTTGAGTATTCAAAATGAAAAGCAAATTCAGAATGTAATTAAAACTAAAACTACAAAAGCTGCAAGAAATATATGTCAGCTAGCACAAGCAGAGCACATATTGAAATCTGAGTCCTGTCCATTTCGGAGCTCTATTCCAGTCTGGGTAAGTTAATTCCTCTTCATTAATTCCAAGCAAGTTTGAAAGGCCCCACTTTGGACACTCAGAAAATGTAGCTCGGCATGTAGGCTGTTTAACCCACCACTATATAACTCAGCATGGAACAGTTAAATGAGATAGGTATAAAAGTAGGTTTGTGAGAAAGCCTAAGACAGGCGAAGGCCTCCTAGGGATAGCAGAATGAGAGTAAAATGTTCATATTCCTAGCTGTTTATAATTGCAATGGATAAAATTGTTATTGACTTGTATGACAAATGGTTAACTGGAGTTGGTAATTTTAGGTCCTATAAAAATAGTAACAAATAATAAACTAGCTGACGTTCTGGGGTTTTAATTCTTAAGGGAAAATCGATTCCTATTTCAGGAAACTGAAACTGGCTATGGTATAATGGAAGAACCAGATCTTACTCTAGTGAGTACTAGTGACATCAGCATCACTGAAACAGATCTTGCAAACTTAACCCTTGAAGACAATGAGGCACAGAGTTGTTTTCAGGTAAATGTCTTAACTAGAACAGGCTGTTCTTGGGCCAAACAACGAGACTTCCTGGCACTAGCAAAGGGAAATACCTTAAAAATAAGCATGAGAACTGGGAGGTGGGAAGAAGGCAAGATGCTAGCAAACATAACTTCCTTGCAACTAGGCAAATGTAGCTCTGCCTACATCTTCAATGGAAACCTCTGTTTGTGGAGCTGTATCAGAGCCTTGTGTGGACCAAGCCACAGCACCTTCAGGTAAACCCCTTATCAGCTTGATAACATTATCAACTGATGTTTAGGTGAAATCCATGAATAATTTTTCTCAAATATTACAGCTACACTTATGGAACGATCCTACCAGAGACAAAGAGAGATCTGGAATAAAACCCGACTCCCTCAAACCAAAGAATCCAAGGAGAAGCTACTTACAGGTATGTTTCCTTAACAGTGGAGATTAAAAAAAGACTCAACCTGCCGGGCGTTGGTGGCGCACGCCTTTAATTCCAGCACTTGGGAGGCAGAGGCAGGCGGATTTCTGAGTTTGAGGCCAGCCTGGTCTACAGAGTGAGTTCCAGGACAGCCAGGGCTATACAGAGAAACCTTGTCTCAAAGACTCAACCTAAAAAAAACCTCATTCATCCCTGCTTTTCAGGTTCATCCTTGAGCCACCTGAATGAAGTGTCTCTTCCTGAAGAGAGAGAAGCTGCCCAAGCCCTTGTGCACCAAAGGGCACTAAGGTATCTATTCATTCCCTTGCTCTTAGCATTGTGTTACATGCTCCAACCTAATTCCACAAATTTCTCTTACAGGTTATACAGGCAGTTAGCTGAGGTGAAACAACAAAGAGAAGAGAAAGCAAAGCAAGAAAAAGGGTGAGCAGGAGCCACCTTTTCACTCACAAAGAAATACAAATTAAAACAGCTAAGTTTTCTTTCTGCGGGAAAACACTAGAGAAATTTCAGGCCAAATACATGCCAACTTCCTACAAATAGTGTAAAGGGTTTTTTTTTAATGTATAAAATTATTTATTAGGTCAAATAAATTCTTATTTAAGGGATTTGAATTTGATTCCTTTGTTGTCCATCCAGATCATCTGAAAATAGTCCTAAGAGAAGACAAAATAAAAGTATTGATGAGTTCATTATATTATTCAGGGGGAAGCCATGTTATCTTCTCAGAAAAACACAGCACTATCAAAAAAGTGCAGCATTTGCTCTGTGAAGAACATCAATCTTTGGTCACAGCGTTAAGAGCTTTTGGTTTTACAGCCCAAACAAGCCCTCTTTGAGATGACCTTCACTACCTGCCTCCCATATACATACCTTTCTCAAAGGTTGTCCAGTTGTACTTTTCAACTCTACATAAATAAGAACATGGGAGCAATTAGATGAGCATTCTAGAACCATCCACATTGCATTAGTAACTGGGTCCTAATTTACTGCTCGTCAACAAATGTTCCCAACAGGTTAGCCACTAGTCAAGTAGCATATGGCAAACCTAATGGGAATTTTTCTCTATGGTCATGTCCACAGCAAATGAGAAACTGCATTCTAAAAGCCTTGGTAATGACCATTATAAAAATAAGTAATATGACTAAATAAAATGATTATTACTTGCCTTTCTTTTTATCTGTCATTGACAACTTGTAAGTTCTTAACCTGTGGGAGGAAATGTTTCAAAGAATTACAAATTTCTATAAGGTTAGTTTTTTAGAGTGCTAAAACTAGGGGGAAATGAATGTTGCACTTGATACCCTGAAACTACAGTGCTGTGACTTCATACCCAGATGGGCTACATGAAGCAAGTTATCTTGCTCACATATATTGGCTGAGTGGGTAAAGGTTACTGTACAACTGCAACCCTGAATCCAAGAATATACCCATGGTTGAAGGAAAGGAGTCATCAATCAGGTCTGCATACATGGACTCTAAAGAGACTTACCCAAATATCGATGTTCAGAAAGGCTACTGTCATTCAGCCCAGTCAGAGCAGTTGAACATTTTGCCCATCATCACAACATCGTTTATCATAGGTAATGTTTTTCAAACCTGGCAGTAAATAAATTTCAGTGGGTTGGAAGTTAAGATCTTACCAGAAGATTTGAAGAAATACTCAATTTTCTTTAGGGATCCTCCTTATCTTTATAAACCTAGAAGATTGACAATAAACTGAATTATTATAGACTGAATTATTAATATCTCTGCGTTCTAGAGTGTAGTAGACAAATGTTACAGGTCTCATTGTCACCACTGTAATTTATCTGCTGTGATGGAAGCATGACCTGTATATCAATTTAGCCACATTGACCAGTTCTGGACACTGACCAACAATGCCCATTCTTACAATGAGGCTTAGTTTCTACTCAAGTAAGGACTGCTAGAAACAGAAATGCCTTACCATTTTAACGTAGGCTTCACTTGTAACAGCCTAGGAAGAAAAGGAATGGTTCATTCACCAGGAAACCCACATTGAGATCAAATTTAGAAGTTGCTGTGCCCTCCCCAAAAAACCTACATAAAAAATATGTACACGCATATGAAATAAACTGTATCATTAGAAATACCAGGTTTAACATGCACAAAGCCAAGAAACCAACGATGCCAGATAGTGAGTTTCTATGGCACTGCCTTTTGAACACTCAACAGGAAAGAACTGCTGAATGCAGATACCATGCAGTGCAAAGTCCTAAAGCACTCTCAGCCTTGCACTAAAGCAGCAGCTAATTTTTTAATGTTAACATATGTATACTAAGGGGGTTGGGTGGATCCCTCTTTCAGCTACTTAAGAGTTCTATCTCACATAAAAATAAAATCCCCACAAAACGGGAAAATCAAAAGATTAATGTTCTCTTGCACACACACTGACTGGTGTTGGCTACCTTCCCTGATCACTCCAACAAACACTGAAGTCTCACTAAAGTCAGAGCTTCTAGATTTAGCCATCATACCTGCCTGGCTGCTAGGGTTTTGGACTGTAGTACTTATATTCACTGTGGAGCTACCCAGCCAAGAATTTGATCTTCTGAGTTTTCCTGTTTCTCAGGCTGTATTCAAACTTGGATCTTCATACCTCAGACTCTCAACTCCTAGAATTACAGATGTGGGACTAGTACATGGTATATCTTTTAAAAATAACTCAATTATCCCTACTGAATGAGCACTTCTAATCATTTTGGTCTGGCATTTGAATGATTTACTTACTAGCCTAGCACAAAGAAAGTACTTTCTAGTTTGTACACACATGTTATCCCTGGAGATTTGTAATTTTTTTAATACAAAAAACCAACAGGAATATAGTTTTACTCACCAACGTCTCTGAAAAGTCTTCTTATATCCATTCCTAGAGAACAGTACATATGACTTTAAAAAGATATTTCATTTATAAAAACTACAATGTTTACCTAAGAGCTGTAGCCAGTTCTGTCAGAATTAAATTTTAGTTCATGTCTAGATCATTCAGCAGTTGAACAGTTAACTCATCATCTGAACTGTAGCTGTATTTCCCCAAAATGAATTAGTGTCACTAGAACTCACCTAAAACTCAGAATTCTAATCTTTATGAAGAAAATGCCAGTGCCTGAAGTAAAAAAAACAAAACAAAATTGACACATCACATGACACATCGGTTTTGCACTTTGTTTGCTGTCTTGTAGTTTCTTCCCACAGACCTAATAAACCGTCCTGTGAGAGTCAAGTAAAACCACAAGTTACTATATGAGGCGTTTCCAACGATGTCTGGCTACTAGGGAAGCCCCATCGGGATAGACCTCAAAAGCAATCATTTCAACAACTGTGAAGCTTTCTTCTATATGGACATCTATGAATAGGAAGTTAAGGAAATCACAAAGTAATCTCACAACATTTGCCTAGCTTAAGACCAAGGTTATATTCTTATAGTGCTGAGCTCTCAAACTGTCTTTTACTGTAGACATAGTTAACATGGTTATGCTGGCTGGAATACAGACACGCCCTTAGCACATACCTTTTATCCTAAACAATGAAGATAAAGTTAGTTTGTAGAAGCACCCATGTTTGAAAGTGATGTCTAACTGAGTGGAAGAGTGACAAAGATTTAAAAGAAGATATGCCCAACTGTCAGGAAGAAAGAGAAGCATTTAAATGGGCAGAAGGCAGGAGGAGAGCTTTACAAAGACACCTGTACATGAACAAGCTAGAATGAGCCAAAAGGATAGAGGCAGAAGTCAGATTCAATCAGTCAGCTGATGGACCATGAGCCAGAACAGCTGAGTTAAACCAGACAAAAGATCAGTAAGAAAGGGTGAAAACAATCTAGGCCTAGATCAGATTGTACAGAGGCTGGGAGCTTCCAACACGCCTTCATTAGCACATGGGCAGTAAGGCTCAGAGACAAATTAGGCAGAAAAAAGGTAAGTACCAGCATATATGGGCAGATAAAACTAAATCAAGAGCCTAAATAAAGGGGCAGTCTGAGTTTTTAGGAATAGCTAACTCATTACTTTTCAAATATTATGTGATGTTGCAAATTTCTGCTGTAGTTTATAAACCATGCTTGAGAAACTGATACTTTAAATTGCGTATTAGTCCTTATAGCCTTGTTTACTTTTGCATTATCCTGCCAAACATACCTCACAGTTCAAATTATTGTTTCTAATGTTCTAACGATTTACTGAGTTCCGGAGCACTCAAACTTTATTGAATTAACATCACTGAAAGTTAATGTAATTCTGAGATAAAACTGAAGATGTAAATGGACATGCTACTTACAACACTGAAACAAACATCCATTCGTGTATATCTTCCAATTCTGACTTCATAATCAAGACAAGCCTTTAAAGAAAGGAATATTCATCCATCGCATTGCCTTTATAGGATAAGCTATATATGTGTACATATATATATTACATATATGTGTGTGTATATATGTATACACATATACATACATATATATGTAGGATACTGCTAGAACTAGTCTCATTAATATCACCTATGTTCTTAATATTCCTTCTTGTATGTATCAAAACTCATACTGAACAATGAGTTCTGGGTTGCAAAAGAGGATTTTATTTTTTGCACCTGTCCACTGGCCTTTGTCCAACAGCCGAACAAAAACACACCAAGTGCTATCAAATTTGACACAAAACCAGCCATACAATTGTGACCACATTATGGACAGTGGTAATAATTCTAAACAACCATAGGGGAAGATAAGCACTTGTTTGACTCAAGACTTACATACCCAGCTAGAACCTGTCTGTGGATGTGAAAAGAAATCTCAGATAAGAACATTCTTGTAGCCGGGTGGTGGTGGTGCACGCCTTTAATCCCAGCACTTGGGAGGCAGAGGCAGGTGGATTTCTGAGTTCGAGAGTTCAAGAGTTCGAGGCTAGCCTGGTCTACTGAGTGAGTTCCAGGACAGCCCGGGCTACACAGAGAAACCCTGTCTCAAAAAACCAAAAAAAAAAGAACATTCTTGTAGGTGTAGATAGAATTGTGGTTCAGCTCCCATAACCTCAACAATGGCTGGCTAATTACCATCTTATAACTTGAGATCCAGGTGCCCTGATGCCTTCTGACCATGAGTACCAGGATGCATACCGCACACATATGCATGAAGGCAAAATACACAAATATGAAATAATGTTTAAAAAATTTGTTTGAGTTAAGCACTGAACTGTTTTGGTTCTTGAAACTACACATGTATAAGAATGTTAGCATTCTCCCTCGAGAATCAAAATCATATTTGCTCTAATAGTAGAATAGTCCCTATAGTATTTCTTACTCTGAAATCAAGCACTGAAAAGAGCTTTGCTGAGTATGTATTAGCCTCCCTCAGCAAGTTTATCTTCTTTCCCAGAATGGTTCAGTGATTCTTACTTTTCTTGATCTATTTGGCATACACAATCATCTGTGTTCTTTACCTTGATAGTCACATGTTCATCTCCTTTCCAGGTCCTTCTGTGCCCTGTGTGGCATCTTTGGCTTTTTTAGAGAATGTAGATTCTTTCTTAATCTTCTCTGGTTCTAAGTTTCTCTTCCTTGAGAATTCTGAACTTATTATGAAGCAACTGTCTTCCTGCATTTAATAGAAAAACTAGTAACTAAACTCACCAATGACTGGTGCATGAATGCAAATACATTCCTCACTACACCAGCACTATTTTCTCATAACAGACTAGCCAAATGTTCTGTATTATCTTATCAGGAGTTAGAGCAATGGCTCAGTGGTTAAGAACACCTGGAACACTAAGAACTGTTCTTTCAGGGGTCCTGTGTTCAATTCCCAACATCCACATGATGGCTCATAACCACCTATAACGTGACCTCTTCCATTAATCAGGTGTACAGATAGAGCACTCACACATTAAGTAAAAAACAGAAAACAGAACAAAAAGCAAGCGACAACATTGGCTTCTCTTACTTTCAAGACTAAGTTTCAATTCCATGCACCCACTATGTGTATGTAGCTCCAGTTCCAAGGGATCTATCTATATAACCTCTCCTGACCTACCCAGGCCCTAGGCATACATCTGGTATACTTACCTGCAAAGCACAATACTCAAATTTAAAAATAAATTTAAAAGAAGTCATTTGAGCCAGGCACAGATACACATTTTGCAAGTCAATAACAGGTACAAAGACTGTGTTGGCAGGTTAATCCACTGGTTTGTGGTCTCAAGAGGCCAGACTGACTCTGGCCTCCACAAATCTGTACTCATACCTGCATGCAAATACACACATACCCTACACACAAATATTCAAAGCTAGAATTATAACTCAGCAGTATGATGCCTTGTCATAAACATAAATGCAGACAAGGCTTTGAACCCTAACCCCTGGGGATAAGAGAGAAGGGCCACCAAAAAAAAAAAAAAAAAAAAAACCCCACCTTGGTATCAAATAGCCTGAATTGTTTAAATAAATGAAATTTCAAAATAGTATACAACTTCTACATTCTGTAAATGAGACAATAAAAATCAGCCACTTACAACCAACTTGATATCACATTCAGACTGAGGATTTGTTGCTTCATCTTCAGTTCTGTAACATCAAATGGAATGTGTCACAATCTTACCTAGTATTCTGATAACACTGAAACCTATAGTCAAAGAAAAACAATCCTCCCAAAGGTGATGTCCTGTACCTCAGATTAAACTATCCTAAATGGACTAGAGGTTATGATTACTATTGAAGAATTTTATAGGATGCTCATTTTATATAGATGGCACATGCCTTTAATCCTAGCAGAGACAGATAAATCTGAGTTCAACTCTAGCCAAAGCTATATAGTGAGACCATCTTTAAATTAGCTTAAAAAATGACAAATCCCATTAACAAATTACCCTTCAAGATCCAACTTACAATGGCTCTTCAATAGGAGAAAGCGGACCATCATCATCCATATACTTGTATCTACGGCTGTCAAGGTCTTCTTTTTCTAAATCTTCCCCAGCATGCATTTGCTTCAAGCATTCCTTAAGGTGGTGTTCATACTTGAGTTTCTCAATATGGTGAAAAAATCCTCTTGCAACAGCTTGCTGCAAGTTAGAACATACAATTCCTTACATAGTAAAACATAAATACTAATTATAACCAAGCTTGAAACTGTACCAAGGGCTAGACAACAGCTTGCTGTTCATCAAAGGACCAGATTTGAAAGCACAGAAGCCATGTAATGATGGTTCTTCTGTAATTCCAGACTTGGGTAGTGAAGACAATATCTAAGTACAAGGTGACTAGGAAGACAACCCAAATTGGCAAGTTCTGCCTTGTCTGCACATGCACACACAAAGAAATACAAAATAGACATCAATCCTCTGATTACACATTCCACCCAAGAACCATTCGCAATCAGTTTAATGCTCAAACATTTGAAAAACCTAACTGGTATCTGGGTGCTTGGTTTTTCTCTCCAGCTCTTGTCCTAGTTAACTTTAATTATCAATTTGGCATAGCTCAAAATCACCCGAGAAGGGATCCTAAACCAAAAGACTGCTTTATTTTTGCACAGTGATAGCCTAGATTGTGGTCATTACCATTTTGAGCAAGAGCTCCTAAGCTAACAATGCACATGATCAGCAGCTTCCTTCAGGGTCCTATTCTCCAGCCCCTCCTGGGTACCTCTAAAAGTGGGCCTTAAGAAGTGACACCATATCTGCTCACCTTGTAATGACAGGTTTGACTACTGCTGAAAAGTTGGGTAGAGTGTGCTTCAGAGTAGTTTAAAGACAATAGTATGAAGGGACTCTGTACAAGGAACCCTGTTGGAGTAGTCTAACTCCCTAAATCTGTGTGCACACTGACAAATGTACCTGTGCACATTTCTCTCACTAGTGATGCACGTGAGATGAAGAGTGGAGCACTTTACATAGATGACACTACTGTTAAAGTAACATCTGTTTCACGTGTCCCTCAGACAAGTAAGAATGGCCATCAAACCATTCCATCTTACCTAATGCATTCACCTACATTAAAAAAAAAAATCACTCACCTCATATGTTAAAATTTTCTTCCAAGGTAAAGGTTTTCTTCCACTTTCAGATTCTAAGAATGGAAACACAGCTCCTTTGTTTCTAATTTGTTTTGCATCTATTTGTGACCTTCTAGTGTTCCTTGTTCCATATGGTCTTCCTCTTGGTCTTAATTTTGGCTTGTACTTCCTCTTTTTCCTCCTTTTCCGTTTCTTTTTCTTAAATCTTTCAAAAATTGCCTTTAAAGTCAAAGGCCTTGGCTCTAGAGAAGAGTCACTTGATGACTCTGTTTCAACACTTGCAGGGGAAGTAACACTTTTCACAGTAGGGAGTCTTTGCTTTTGTGTAGGTGAAGGAACACACTGTGTTTTAAATAAGCTGCTATCAGATGAGTCATCACTAAAACAAAAATGAAACTGCATCACTGAATTATCATTAGATATAATCCTCCTCAAGTGGCAAGGCCCAACTCCCAGGTAGCTATAATCATGCATTCCTTCAGATTCACAGCTCTAACACCCTCTTACTGAACTAAGAGCACCAGGACAGACCATATAAAAAGCACTCACAAGAAATCCAAACATGTTAAACAGTCAAAGTACATTTCTTCAAAGATCAACCCCCCCTAAAATCATACCCAGCATTTTAGAATGAACTCAGGTACCAGTTAGCCACTATGTCCTTATTATACCTAAAACAAGACATTGTTGGCTAAAATGTTCAATTTTATTTTTCAAAAGCTCCACTTAACTACTGAAGCTTCCACTATCTACTAAACAAAACTGGGCCAAAAACCAGAAATAGCCCCCAAAATGTAGTTTTCTTAGAAAATTAGACTATGTTCCATTTCTACATGTTCAGATAGCTGCAAAACTGTTTTACTCAAACTGTATTAGTCAAGCCAATATATGTTGAGTTTTCTACATCTTTATGGACAAGCATTACAAATAACTTCCCATCATTCAAACACACTGGAGTGCAGGGTGTGGTACCCATGCCTTTAATCCCAACTCTTGGGAGGTAGACAGGCAGGATTACCTGGGTGAGAGCAGCCATGGCTCTATCCATTGAGACCTTGATTGAACATCTGGCCGAATCTACAGTTTCCCCACAAAGCTACCTTACCTTTGGTTTCCAGTATCTCCAGCTCTATCCGAGGCCACACCGTCAACAGAATTCACTTCTGATTGAGACATCACTTCTCTGCCTTACCCAGTTTTCTGCAATTACAAATTTCAATGATGCACCTTCCCATACACAGCATTCTAATGTTAAAGTTCAACATACTCCTCACCATTATGTGAAACCGCTCTGGACAGTACATTTTACATCTACTTCTAAAGCCTGAGTGAGCTCAGCAGAGCTCCTCTGCTCTTCCAGAGTTCCGCTTCCAGTACCCACATTGGGCTGCTCACAATTTCCCGTTAACCCCAGCCCCCGTATGTTTCGGATCTTTTGTCTTCCTGAGTACCCTCACACAGTTTTCTTTAAATCTGAGTGAAAACAAAGAAACCACATCCCAATGCAGTTTGTTTTCTCTCTAAATCTAACCCCCAAACCCTTCTTGGCTGTAACCACCACCTAGCCTCACAGTAATATAGCATTTCTAATTCCAATCTGGGCTGCCACCTGACACTCCAACTAGAGTTCGGGTAGTTGGGACATGGCGATAGTGGCTCAAAAGATTGTTACTGATCAAACGGTACAAGAACCTTTAGATTATGGCTGGAGCGGTGGCCTAGCAGTACTGTCAATGGACTAAGATTATACTCCCAGCACCAACATGGCAGCTTAAAAATAGCTGCAACCAGTCCTATAAGATTCGATATCCTCTTCTGGGCTCTGTGAGCACAGCGTGCACATAGTGTAGAAATAAGAGGGAGGTAAAACGGCCACGTGTACTAAAGGACAGAAAATTTCAAAGTTATTCTGGGCTACACAAATCCTAGAACTAAACTAATCACAATCTTCAAGGGTAAGAAAAACAGGTGACTACGACCTTAGATCGCAAAATATCCACTATATGAACTGCTTTTCTAAATTAACCCATCAAAACTGAAATATAAGGTTGGCCCGGTTACACCAACGATACATCTGTGGGTAAATCCAAAGATAATTACTATAAAGCCCTATCTAGGAATCACTCCTAGGAATCACTGTATGCTACTTTCAAGCTCCGAGCCTGCAAGCTTTGGAGGCCACGTGGTGAGCTGAGTCGAACATGTGCGGTGGGCCGGCAGACAAGACCCTTTAAGCAGGTTACGAGATGAGGGCAGGCAGCACGGACCCCTTTCAACACACTAAAAAACCCTTCCAGGCCCAGAACACCCCGGCCTCTCTCAACAGCGATCTGGAGTCTCGCGCGGTCTGCGGATGGCTGCAGCCTGGCCCGCTCTGCGGCTCGGAGCCCTACATCAGCGCCGTTTCCGCGCGGACAGCCGCCCAAAGAGCCCCGCGCTGCGGGCCCCGCGGTCCCGCCAGGTGGGCCGCGGCAGACCAGAGCACTCAACCCGAACAACCGTTTACCTCTTTCGCCGCGCCGAAAAGAGCGCTCCGGCGTCCAGGAGACGAACTAGGACAAGGACGAAATCTCGCGTGAGGGCACGTCTGTGGGCGTGGCCATACGTATGGACTGAGTGGTGGGCGGTCCTCCGGGAGGGGCGGTACCCAGGCTCTTGCCTTGGCCTAGAGCGATCAGAAAAGACAGGCTGGAGAGTGAACCTGTGTTGCTTCCTGCAAGCTTGAAGACACTGCAGGTCAGGTGAGCGTCGGTTTGTGGTGGTGACTGAACCGCAGTGTGCCGAGTTCCGTCAGACTAAGGGTGGCCTGTGCTATGGTATTTGTGTACTGTAGCTATGTACTCAGTTGCCTTACTTCTACTTTTTGATCCTAGCAGTTTGCCAACAATCTGTGGAATCCTGAATCATTGACTCTCTGTGGCCTTGCACACATGCAGCTCCACTAGGACTAAGTTCTAATGGAACATGACAAACACCTTATTCAGTGGGTGACAAGGTCTGATAAGAGGGCGTTCATGCTCGCACTTCACTATCCCTTGAGTTCTCATAGACAAATACATTTCAAATGTAAAGTTGTTGACCTAGAGATATAATTGGATTATAGAGAGCTTGCCTAGTGTGCATGGCACCACCGAGAAAAAAACAAAAAAGCAAACAAAAACCTGTGTGTGTGGTTAGATCTGTTTGAATAGGGTCCTATGTGACTGTACTATTTGCAAAGCTGTAAAGCCAGCCTTGTACTTGACCCCCTACTAGTCTAGTATATCATAAAAGTCTACCATATCATAAATACTTAACAATTAACTAATACACCGCCTACTGTGTGCAGTATACTTGGAAGAGAGGAGAAATCCAGTCTAGGAGGAAGATGAAGTTCAAGCATGATCAGTTCCCCTGAGTGCCGCTCTGAGTGCCGCGGGATCACTCCGAACACAGTCTTCCTGTTGGTAGCTGAAGGGGCGGTTTCTCTACTGCTCATTCAGCTTGGGATGGGTGCGTTCTGGGTTTACAGATCTGCCTTTGAGTTTGTAGCTGTTGCTGCTGTTCTTTGACACATGTCTCTCTATGTAGCCCTGAGAGTCCTAGTACTTGATATGTAAGCCGGGCTGGCCTTAAACTCACAGAGAATCTCTTGCTTCTGCACCCCTCTGCCCCTGCCTCTGTCTCCAGTGCTAGAACTAAATAAACATCTGCACACCACGCCTGGCTTGAATCTGCTTTCGAATTCTGCTTCTGCCATGTAACAACTGAATGATCTTGGGTAAATTCTATGTTTCTTCTTCTGTACAATAAGAAGTACAAGATAAGTCTGTCATGGATTTGAGAATTTTGAGGAACTTTAAAGGGCCTGACAGTTTCTGAATACAGGGTGGCCTTAATAATGACACTCAGCATGGTTGCCACGGTTAGTCTGTTGCCTACAGTGTTGTTTCTCCCTCTGCACTTACCTTCCTGTTCGTTCACCTTTTCTCTACCCCGTTTCTGGCCCATCGGCTCCCACCACTTACATCAGGAAAGTAAATATTTGCCTTCATCTGGCTGGAAGCTGTGCTGGAGCAGCTCTGACTGTCTGTGGAAACCATTCCCTTTGGGTCCGAACTCCAACCCCACCCTCTCCACACACGTTCTCCCCTGCTCCCGAGGAGCAACATATGTTCGATGGCATGTTCATCTGCATGAACATCTACATTTCTAAACCAGCTATTCGGGCTGGAGACTCCCCTGGTTAGACTTTTGTCTCTATTTTGGTAGGAATATAAAACAAACCGACCGATCTTCTCTTAAGAAAGTAAGCAGTTTAAATTAGGGATATTGCTGGGCGGTTGGTAGCACATGCCTTTAATCCCAGCACTCTGACTTCCAGAACACCCAGAAACCCTGTCTCTGGGGTGGGGAGGATGTTTTTAAATCTAAGTTGAATTCCTATTATTCTACTACATAGTTATCTAAAGTGCTTTCATTTTCCTCACTATGTACTGAGCTATACTAAGACCGGGTGTGGCAGTACATACATTGAGCTCCAGCACTCAAGGGATTCAACAGGAAGAGCATAGTTCCAGAGCAGCTGGGCCATACAGTGAGCCTTATCTCAACAAAAAAAGAAAAGAAAAACAAGCAGTAATGGATTAATATGCTATTTATCGTGCAGATTTGACATTTCATATATTAGGAAGTATCGCTGGTTAACCTCTACAGAGTGTGGTTAACTGTTAACATGGGGCATCTGGGTAAAGAGTGTGTAAGTTCTATCTGTATACAATATACCATTCTTAAACTATTTCAAAAGAAACTTAACATGTTTTAGTTCTAAACAATTAAAGACACTCAATTGGAAAACATGTTTAGAGTGATTCAAGCATGATTATAGCATCTGGGGCCCATTTTCAATAATTACTTATATTTCATTTGAAACACAAGAGTATATGTGTTAGATAATTAAAAGACTATAAAAAAAAGAATGTTTGGTAAAGTACTGAAGTAAATGTCACCTATTTCAACTACCCTGGAGGCCGAGGCAGGAGGATGGCTTGGGGGACAATGTAGGGATCCTATATCTTAAAGAAAAACTGTAAAGATAAGATGCTAAGTATGTGCAATGGCATGTTCATGGAATATGTATGTTCTGAAAGTATGGTCAGAAATAGAAATCGTAGGCCAGAGATGGCTTAGGAGTTATACATGGAGAGAGCTTACTTCTGCAAGTTGTCCTCTGACCTCCACATGTGGGTTGTGGCGTGCATGCGTGTGTGCACACACACACACACACACTAAACACACACATACACAATAAATACTTTTTAGTGAAATAATTTTTTAAAAAATTCTGAGCCTAAGAAACATATGAACCTGTAAAAATGGCTCTGGCTCAGCTCAGCAGTTGAATGCGCATTCCTCTTTCCAGCAGGACTGAGTTCCATTCTTAGCACATAGCCAAGGCTTTCGTTTAAGCCTTAAGTGATTGTGCTTCACTGGAGACACAGAGGCAGGGCGAGCTGTGAGCTGGAGGAAAACCGAATCAAAAGAAACGAACAGCAGTCTGAGGGCCCACTTCTCATTTGCGGCATGAGCACTTTTAAAGCCAACCATTCTGATTGAGATGTTCCATTAACAGGATTGAGTGCTAGCTACTCCCATGGTGCTCTGGGAGGCAGGAATGCCCTCAGTGATTTGACTGTCCTGTGCTGTGATTGGACCTGCCTGTCACCTCCCTGCCCTTCTCCTTTTCTTTTCCTGAATTCCCTTTAGCCATCTCACTGGGCTTGCTTATGAGGCGCATCTCCTGAACAGGGAAGTAAGTACCAATCTATGAATATATGTGCTTGGTTTTTGTAAAGTGTTTTTGCCATGCATTTTTAGAAATATAAAATTATAATTGATTAGGTTACCAGGTTAATTGAACATTAAAAGTACTTACCAAGTAAGTATATTTATTTATAAATTAAAGTATAAAAAAAAGACTTTCAGAATCTAATCATTCATAGGTTTCCATTTCAATTAGTAACTAAAATTTTCTCTTATAAAAATGACTAGTAAAAGGAATAATTCAAACATAAACAAATGAGATTTGGCAACATAATTTTTTAGCGTCAGGGAAAAAAACAAAACAAACTCCCATTGTGTTACTATAATGCCAGACTTTGGTGTTTTGTTATTAATGAGACCTACTTTGGTATTTTGTTATTAATGAGATCTACTTTGCTTTTTTGTTATTAATGAGATCTACTTTGCTTTTTTGTTATTAATGAGATCTACTTTTAGAATGAAATTTGTACTCTGTTTAAAAATAATAAAGGTGGGTAGTCAGGCCAGCATGACCGCTCAGTGGGTGAAGGAACTTACCAATAAGCCTGACTGAGTTCAGTCCCTGGCATCCACCTGGTAAAAGAGAGAACTAAGTCCTACAAGTTGTCCTGTGACCTCTACAGGTATGCTATGGCATGTACACAAGGACACCCATACAACACACACATTCACATACACACACACACAAACAAATGTAGTATTAAAAACAATTTAATAACTCCAAGACAATTAACTTTTAGGTTAAATGTCAAATATAGAGTAGCAGTCAAGTGATCTATCATATACAATACTGTGGACTGTACAGATTGTGTATACATACAGATGCACACATCTGCAAAACCAATTAATTATTTGTAATTCTTAATGCATGCCTTTTATTTCAAGACCATATTCTTAGACTGTCTGTTAGAAAACCTCAGGTTAGGCTGAGTATAGCACTCTGTGAGAAAGTGCTTTCCTGGCATACTTGAGCTCCTGGCTCAATCTCAGTACCAAACAAATAAAAATGAAAGGAAAAAAAGTATAAAGAATAGATTCATATAACAGTATTGGGCTGGGATGTAGCTGAAGCCCTGGGTTCCACCTACAACACTGCCAGGAAGGAGAAAGGGAAAGGAAGAAGGGAGGGAGAGAACAGAAAAATAGATCAAAATGGAGAGGAGAGAAAGAACAGTGGGGCAGAGGTCCCTCAGCTCCTGCTCACATGGAATAGACAGGAAGTTGTCTGAGCTCCGAGTGGAGCCTTGGAGCCCTTTGCCCTCCTTACGTAAGTGAACTCTGAGGATATGGAACCTCCATGGCCTTTGCCTTCATCAAGTAACTAAGCTCTATCATTCATTTCCAGAGCTGAGACTTCGTGCTGGTGCCCTGTGAGCTCTCGAGGTAGTCAACAACAGCTGCTGTGTTTGAGCAGCCTTGCTGAGAGGAAAGAGAATGGCTTGCATTGAGTTTTCTTTTCACATGCCAAGTCTAGAGGAGCTTGCTGAAGGTAAAAGTGATGTTAGCTTTGGGTGATTGTTTTTTGTATTGTTTGTTTGGTTGGTTGGTTGGTTTGATTTTGTTTTTTCAGAGACAGGGTTTCTCTGTGTATCCCTGGCTGTCCTGGAACTCACTCTGTAGACCAGGCTGGCCTCAAACTCAACAGAGATCCTCCTGCCTCTTCCTCCTGAGTATTGGAATTAAAGGTGTGTGCCACTAGCCCTGGCTAGCCGGCCTCAAACTCAACAGAGATCCTCCTGCCTCTTCCTCCTGAGTATTGGAATTAAAGGTGTGTGCCACTAGCCGTGGCTAGCCTTGGATATTTCAGGACTATTCCAGGAAATAAAACCAAAAGATCTCTGAGGTATATATGTAGCTGTAAATACAGTCTGCTGGAGCTGGAAAGATGGGGCAGTGGTTAAGAGCACTGGCTGAACTCTGATGACCTGAGTTCTGTCCCCAGAACTCACATAGTAGCTCACAATTGTCTGTAACTGTCAGTCATAGATGATTCAGTGCCTGCTTCTGGCTCCTTCAGCCCCAGACACAGGTAGTGCACAGACATATATGTGGACATAACACTCAAACACATTAAAAATAGATAAATAATAAAAACAAAAGATTTAGTCTTTTCCTGAGTGTTGATCATAGTCTCAAATATACTTTGCATATTGATGCACTGTCAGTTCACTTACTTTAATTTCCCTGCGTGGATTCTTTTTTGCTTACTTGTTTTTTGCTTTTTGGGTTTTTTGTTTGTTTGTTTGGTTGGTTGGTTGGTTTTTGAGTAGCCCTGGCTGTCCTGAAACCCACTCTGTAGATCAGGCTGGCCTTGAACTCTGAGATACACCTGCCTCAGCTTCCACAGTGCTGGAATTAAAGGCGTGTGCCACCATGCTCAGCCTTTTCCTTTCTTTCTTTTTTTTTTTTTTTACTTTGTTCAAACAAGAATGTAGGGAAGTTCTCCAGTGTAAATTAGAGAAAGAAAAAGATAGACAAATGCACCAGACAAGCCCAGAAGGTCTGCATTGGAAGCTGTGATATCTTTGGCTCCATTCTGTGGCGACTGCTGTCTCTAAAACCATCCATTTTCATAGTATACTGGCTGAGTAATAACATGTTCTCAAAGAAACTGAATCAGACATTTACTTGCTTTTTGCTTTTTTGCCTGCATGTATGTCTGTGCATCATGTGTGTGCCCCATGCATGCAGAGACCAGAAGCCATGCTGGATTATTAGGAACTGGAGTTACAGAGTTATCAGCCTTCTTATGGGTTCTGGGGATTGAACCTGACTCCTCTGGAGGAGAAGCCAAAGCTTTTAATCACTGAGCCATCTCTCCATCCCTGCATTTTGCTTTTTTTTTTTTCATTGCTTGCTTCCTATTCTTTTTGAATAAGAAACATAAAAATATAATCCTCCTGGAGTGACAAGTTGGCTCAGTGGATAGATGTGTTTGCAGCGCAAGTGTGGCTGCCTGAGTCCCATCCCTAGGACCAGCATAGTGAAGGGAGAGAACCGACTCCCATAAACCTTCATCTAACCTCCACATACACCTTGGCATGCATTAAGCTCTGTGTGTTTGTGTGTGTGTGTGTGTATGTGTGTGTGTGTGTGTGTGTGTATCACACACACATACAGATACTATAAATAAATGAAATATATATGTATATTAGTGTTAAATAGATTTGCATTGTAGCTGTGTCCCTTCCTAGCCATGGAAGAGACCATTTTTGTTGGCAAAGCTATCAGCTACTTAATTGGCATCAGATTCTGACTTTCACATTCTTCACTGACAAGGAGCTGTGGGATACCAGGTTATTGGGCATACTTTTTTCCTATTATTAATCATTCCATTCATTTACATCTCAAATGATATCCCACTTCCCAGTTACCCCTTCACCACCACCCCATCCCACATCTGTCCTCCCCTTTGCCTGTATGAGAGTGCTCCCCCACCCACCCACACTCTCCCGCCCCACCACTCCAGCATCCCCCTACTCTGGGGCATGCAGCCTCCACAGAACCAAGGGCCTCCCCTCCCAGTGCTGTCAGGCAAGGCCATCCTCTGCTACAAATGTATCTGAAGCCATGGATCCCTCCAGGTATATTCCTTGATTGGTCTAGACTTTGGGAGAGCTGGGTGGTCAGGCCATCCTATGTTGTTCTTCAAATGGGGTTGCAATCCCCCTCCGCTCCTCCAGTCCTTCTGACAGTTCCCTAACCAGGTTCCCTGAGCTCAGCCTGATGGTTGGCTCCCAGCATCCACATCTGCATTGGTTAGTTGCTAGCCTGACCGCCAGAGTAACCTCCATACTAGGTTTCTGTTGGCAAGTGCCTCTTGACCAGGGCAACAGTGCTGGGTTTGGTGTCTACAGACATGTTGTTTCCCCAGTTGGGGCTGTTCCCTGTTGGCCCTTTCTTCCGTTTCTGTTCTATTTTTTTGTTCCTGTTCTTCCTTTGGACAGGAACATTTCTAGGTTAAAAAACTTTGAGATGAGTGGGTGGCCCATCCCTGGTCCAGGGGCCTATCTACTGGAGGTGGTACCCACAGGTTCTATCTCCCCCTTCTCTGCACATTACGGCTAAAGTCAATCCTGTTGGGTCCTGGGAATATTGGGCATACTTTTCTAATGTCTCTTGAACAGAGTCAGGAAGATCTCTATGAATTTGGGACTAGCCTGATCTATGTAATGAGTTCCAGGACAGCCAGGGCTACATAGGAAGATACCTGTCTCAAAAAAACAAATAAAATAAATTTCTAGAATAAAAAGCTCTGGAATATTAAGACACTATGCTTTTCTACATTTGTATTACAGCACAATGCATCTACAGTAAAGTATAGTGATTGCAGAGTGTGAGCACATGTACCTGTGTGAACACATGTACCTGTGTGAGCACATATTCCTGTGTGAGCAAATATTCCTGTGTGAACACATGTACCTCTGTGAGCACATGTACCTCTGTAATCACATGTACCTCTGTGAGCACATGTTCCTGTGTGAGCACATGTACCTGTGTGAGCACATGTTACTAAGTGATCACATGTTACTAAGTGATCACATGTACCTGTGTGAGCACATGTTACTGTGTGAGCACATGTACCTGTGTGAACATATGTAACTTTATTAAATATATATTCAGTATCTTAATAGGCTCCCCCATGGACCTTCCAGTCAGCCTTTCTATCTGCAGAGATCACCTGAGATGCCTGCCTTTGAAACACTTCAAGTGGGGTCATGCAGTCTCTGCTCTTGTGTCTGGCTGCTATGGCTTGCACTGTAATTTGCCTGTATCACCACTGAATCTGTGGCATGAGATTCCTTTCATTAGGTGTTTTGAAATTCCCTCAAGGGAAGATAGCTCTCACCTGTGTGCAGTCTGGTTCCTTCCCACATCTGTTAGTTGCTGTGAAGGGACGCCAGGAAAAGACATGATAAACCTTCCCTCAAAGCCACACCTCCTCCAACAAGGCCACACCTTCTATTCCCTGATGACTAAGCTTTCAAATATGGGGGCCACTGTTCTTCAAATCAGCACACCAAAGTTAGTAATTACGGGTATTTATGTGTCAGAGAGTACATTATATCTTCTGAGCATGTCAAAGTCTAATTTTATTCATCAATACGAATATTCTGGGGCTGGAGAGATGGCTCAGTGGTTAAGAGCACTGCTCTTCCAGAGATCCTGAGTTCAATTCCCAGCAACCACATGGTGGCTCATAACCATCTGTAATGAGGATCTGATGCCCTCTTCTGGTGTGTCTGAAAACAGCTACAGTGTACTCATGTAATAAAATAAATTAAAAAAAAAAAAAAAGAATATTCTGGGGCTGGCTCATTGGCTAAGAGCACTGGCTGCTCTTCCAGAGGTCTTGCATTCTATTCCCAGCACCCACATGGTGGCTCATGATCATCTGTAACGGGATCCGATGCCCACTTCAGGTGTGTAGGTGTACATGCAGCAGAGCACTCATGGGTTAAATAAAAAGTAAACTTAAAAGAGCCGGGCGGTGGTGGCGCACGCCTTTAATCCCAGCACTTAGGAGGCAGAGGCAGGCGGATTTCTGAGTTCGAGGCCAGCCTGGTCTACAGAGTGAGTTCCAGGACAGCCAGGGCTACACAGAGAAACCCTGTCTCGAAAAACCAAAAAAAAAAAAAAAGATTACAAGGCTGTTTTTTGTTGTTTTTTTAAGAGCATTCTTGGGTTGGTGGTACAGGTCAATAGTAGACTATACTGTATGCCCCAGGTCCCTCATGTCCGTTTTATAATGTAACTTAAGGCTGTGAGTATAACAAAGAAGCTTTGAAGAAAGATTTACTACATGGTGGCTATTTTTTTTTTTTTACTTAATGTTAAATATCTCCTTTGTGTGTCTTTTATTAGTTTTGCAGAAGGGGCTAAAGGACAACTTTGCCGATGTCCAGGTCTCTGTGGTTGACTGTCCAGATTTAACAAAAGAGCCATTTACCTTTCCTGTAAAAGGTACGTAGTTTTTAAAAAAAGTTTTTGGTTTTCAGTTATACACTTTTTTGGAAGCAAGTGTTATTTTCCTCTATGAATAAAAGCTGTTATTACAAATTCAGGCTCAATTTTTGCCCAGTTTCTTTGGTTCAGATGTGGGCCCTTATATGGAGAAACTATGTTTCAGGTGTATTTATAACCCCCAACGGTTTGGTTATGCGACATACTCAGTAGGCTAAGTTTTAATAGAACAAGAATTTTGTTTTTAATTCCTCGAGTGACTTGTGAAGACTACCTTTAATTTTTGGTTGTATATGTTTGCTCAAGTTCACAAATATCTTAAGAGGCCTATATTTGGGGGCTGAAGAGATGGCTCAGCAGTTAAAAGCATTTGCTGCTCTTTTGGAGAACTCAAGTTTGGTCCCTAGCACCCACATCAAGTGGTTTGCAGCTGCCTGTAACCCCAGCTGCAGAGGATCCAAGGGCCTCTTCTAGCCTCTGAAGGAATCTGCATTCCTGAGCACATAGCCCCATACATACACATGCCATATACATAATTTAAAATTAAGTAAGCTTCTCTTTAGGCCTTATATTTGATTCATCTATTAAATGCTTAGACCCCTTCCATAAATTTGCCAAGTTTGAAGTACTAAAGGAAGGAAATGAATATTGGTTGAGTAAAACAGCCTCAGGGTGACAGACACTTGAGTCAGATGCATGTGACAGCAGCACTCCAAGGCCCTAGCTTCAGCTTGCTGAGCTAGAGAGAGGCCACATAAACTCAGTGTGAGTCATAATCAAGATCAAGTGTAGGCATGTTTCAAAAGTCTGACCTCCTCCGTTATGCCCTGTGGTGATGAGGAATTATAGGGTAGTGTATTCCTTTGTTTCTTTTATGTTAATTGACATAGCTGGTCACAAAGTAATCTGCTTGGAATTCTTAAAACACTGGTCCTAATGTCTATTCATCCATTACTTGGACTAAATCCCATAGTGTCCCAGGGCCTTAGATAACAGTAAGTAGGAGAGTCCAGCTGAGTGTTGTAGGAATCTTCCAGGTTAAACAGTCTTTGACTGTAGTCTCTCGACACCTTGCAACTATTAGAAACCATTTTGGAAACATTTATTTTCTATATACTGGATTCTATGTATGTATGTATGTATGTATGTATGTATGTATGTATGACTGTGTACCTTGTGCATGCTTGGTGCCTATGGAGTCTGGAAGAAGACATCAGATCCATCTGGAGTTACAGATGGCGGTGGGTGCTGGGAACTGAACCCAGGTCTTCTGGAAGAAGAAGCCAGTGCTCTTGACTGCTGAGCCATCTCTCCAGCCAGGGTTCAAATTTGTGAATGGGCAAAGTAAGATCACTTCTTTTTTCTTCCCCCTTGTAATCGTCTGTGGTTTCTGGTTTTCATTTTGAGAGTAAATTACTCTTTCTTCCTTGTTTCTCAAGCTGCCTCTCTCTATCTAGAAGACACTATAATGTTTCACAGGAACTTTTCCCCTTTCCTCCACCTACTTTGTAGAATCTTTCTGTATTGGGATGATATTTAGAAAATGGCACCTGGTCCAGCTTGTTCCCAGGCAGCCACTATGTTCCCATTGCTCCTCGGCTCTGTCTGGGGCTCCGATTAGCTGAATGCCCAGGCCCTGGCACCCACGAGATGCCAGCATTCACAAAGCTCGGCTGGACCCCAGACAATATCTGCCATCCTCTCAGTACCAGGTAGAAGTGAGACTCTTAAAGCGTAATGATCATCTAAAGGATTTATGTATTTAGAAATGCTCAATCAACAAGATGCCCACACGATTAGAGTTGTTACCCAATTTCTAATCTTTTGATACAAGTTGCTACCCAGTACAGCTTTCGACCCATCCTTGGTTCTCCATAGCCCATAGGCTCCTCCTTCTCCTCTCCTTCCGGTCTTTCTCCCCTCCCCTTCTTCTTTTTCTTTCTTCCCCTTCCTGTCTTTCTCCCCTCCCCTGACTCTTTTTCTCCCCTCCTCTTCCTCTCTTCTTCTCCAAGCTCCACCTCCTCTCCTACTGCCTAATCACTGAGCTCCACTGCAAATACAATGTAGCAAAATAAATATCCTGCAACATCTTTCCATCTTTTTCATCTAATCTTGTACTTCTAACCAGAATCCAGCACCTTTAAAACCTCTCTCACCTAGAGCTCTAGAATCTCCAGCTGTGTGTAGCACATCTCTACCTAGGACTTCCTTCTTCCTTAGTCCCTGGACAGCTGTGGGTCCTGTAGTAGTATCTCCAACCACCAGCATCTTGTCACTCAATGTACAACCTGTGGATAATTTCTGCACCTCCCAAGCTCCTCCCACAAATGGCACTTGTTTTTTGTTTGTTTGTTTGTTTGTTTGCTTGTTTGTTTTTGGTTTTTTGAGACAGTGTTTCTGGCTGTCCTGGAACTCATTCTGTAGACCAGGCTGGCCTCGAACTTAGAAATCCACTTGCCTCTGCCTCCCAAGTACTGGGATTAAAGGCGTGTGCCACCACTGCCAGGCCACAAAAGGCACTTGTAAGACTTTTTTGCATCTCTTCTCTGCATAACAGTAGGGCAATTAAATGTACTTCACTTAATGATAACCTTGAAAGACTTCTCAAGTAAAAGATAATGAGTGTCTACTCTGCTTTAAAAAGTGCCTTCTCCAAAACTGCCTCACTCTGTTGTTATAATACTAAAAATGTAAGTAACAGGGCTGGAAAGATGGCTCACGGTTAAGGCCCTTGCTGTCACACTTGGTGAAAAGAGTTCAATCCCAAGAATCCACGTTGTGGAAGGGGAAGACTCCCACAGGTTGTTTTCTGACCTCTATACTACATATACCCTCTACTACCACACACATATAAAATAAATAAACGTAATAAAGGAAAATGTAAGTAGAAGGGCTGGAGAGATGGCTCAGTGGGTAACAGCTCTTGCTGCTTAAGCATGAGGACTTGAGTACAGATCCTAACACCCACATAAAAACCTGGAAGGAGCCATGTTTGTCTGAACCCCAGCACTCAGGCAGATAATAGAAGATTGCTGGGGCTCACTTCAAGTTCAGAGAAAGCCCCTCAAGAAATAAGGTGGAAAGTGGAGCAGGTCACTCAGTATCTTTCTCTGGCCTCTACTTGTGGTATATATGTGCAGTATATGCACATAAACATATTTGAATATGCCATATACACACCACACTCATATACACATACATATACAATAAATCAAGCAATTAAAATGTAAGAAAAGTACAATATATAGTTTAATTTATTTGGTTTAAAATTAGTTTTAATAGTTTAACCTTGATTTTAAAGTAAGTAGGAGAACAACAGCTTAGTAGTACAATATGTTATTACCCCTGAGTTCAATTCCCTAGCACAGAACAAACAATAAAATACCGGTACAGCTACAGAAATACACACATAGAAACTTGCTAGTATCCAAAGGTTATCCATCATTGCTTGTTTTTTGGATAAACTTATTTATATAAACTTATAAAAAATTTCTCAACATGGGTCTAAAGAACAACATTCTACCAAAGTAAAATGTTATAAAAATTTAAAAATATGGGGCTGGAGAGATGACTTAGCAGTCAGGGGCACTGATTGTTCTTCCATAGGACCCAGGTTCAAATCTCAGTACCCACATGGCAGCTCACAACTGTCTGTAACTCCAAGATCTGAAACTTTCACACAGACATACATGCAGGCAAAACACCAATGCACATAAAATGGAAATAGATAAATTATAAAAAAATAAAAATACAACTTATGCCAAAAAAAAAAAGAATAGAATTTTTAAAGGAAAATGCCACCTGGGGGAATTTTTAAGGGAGTAGGCAAATGAATTCTAGAAACTCTACTCAAAAGTTGGTCCCTGCTCTCTTAGAAATCAGTCATTGGTATGCCACTGGCCTGTGAGCCACGCTCAGGAATGATGATGTTGGCGGCAGTTAAAGCAGACCAGAGCAGGGACCACTTGCATCTTTTCGTCTCTGCTAGTTCCAACTGAGATTCTCTTACATGCGTTCCTAATAAATTAGTGTCTTCTGGAATTTTATACATGAATGATGTGTTTGCCTGCTTTTAAGATGGCTTGTGTTTTTTAGGCATCTGTGGGCAAACTAGAATTGCAGAAGTAGGAGGTGTGCCTTACTTATTGCCTCTTGTAAACAAAAAAAAAGTAAGTATGTTTTTATTCTCGGTATTCACAGACTGTAGAAACTGGGTTGACTCACACCAGCAAGTGTGGCAGGCGAGGATCCGGTGGTCTGTTGTAAAAAATAAATCAAGAAATTCATTACAGCTTCAATAATTTTTCCTTCTTACAGGTTTATGACCTAAATGAAATTTCAAAACAAATAAAGCTGCCCGGAGCTTTTATCCTTGGAGCAGGGGCAGGTCCATTTCAGACACTTGGGTTCAATTCTGAGGTCAGTACGTATATATAGTATTATTTTATTTTGTTCATTTGGCTTTTCAGTTATTCATAACTTTTTTACTGGCCTGTCAAAAACTTACTTTTAGCTGGGAATGGTGGCTCATATATGTGGTTCTAGCACTTAGAAGGCTGAAGCAGGAGGATTGTGCAAGTTCAAAGTCATCATGGGCCAGATAGTGAGTTCCAAGTCAGTCTGGGTCACAGTGGGAGAAACCTGTCTCAAGGGAAAAACAAAAAACAAAAACCACCTTCTTTATGAGTGAATTGTAAGTTGTTGGTTTCTCTTCAGATTTGGGCCCAAGTGGACACTCCAACTGCTCCAGTGCTAATGAAGTGTCTATTTCAGAGTCTATAGAAAATAGGGGCCGGGCGGTGGTGGCGCATGCCTTTAACCCCAGCACTTGGGAGGCAGAGACAGGCGGATTTCTGAGTTCAAGGCCAGCCTGGTCTACAGAGTGAGTTCCAGGACAGCCAGAACTACACAGAGAAACCCTGTCTAGAAAAACCAAAATAAATAAATAAATAAATAAATAAATAGGTTAAACCCAAAAGGTGTGTGTGTGTGTGTGTGTGCATATATATCTGTAGTATAGTGTGTATATTATGTATATATGTGTGTATATGTGTAATGTATATGTATTATATATGTGTAGTGTGTATATGTGAATGTATGTGTATACTGTGTATATATTATGTGTATAGTTTGAATGTGTATTATGTGTGCATGTGTATTATATATATGTAAATGTGTGCATATGTTTAGTATGTAGTCTATATGTATTATGTGTGTATTATGTATGTGTGTATGTATGTAGTATGTACTATGAGTCTGTATTATGCATGTATGTGTTGTGTATGTACTATGTGTATGTGTTGTGTGTAGTGTATGTGCAGCGTGTAATGTGTATTATGTGTTTATGTATTATGTGTGTATTGTGTATAATGTATGTATGTACTATGTGTCTGTGTATTGTGTGTGTATGTGTGTAGTATGTGCAGTGTGTATTATGTTTGATGTGTGTATTATATGTATTATGTATGTGTATAGTGTGTTATGTGTATATGTGTGTAGTGTGTGTGTACTGTGTGCATTATTATGTGTGTAGAGTGTATATTCTGTGTGTATGTGTGTAGTGTGTGTACATATTATATGTGTATATGGTATGTATGTATGTGTGTGTATTATATATGTGTATATTATATGTGTATGTGGTATGTATGTGTATTATGTCTGTGTGTTATGTGTGTATGTGTATATTGTGTGTGTGTTATGTGTATGTATATTATGTCTGTGTGTATTGCATGTATTATGTATATTGTTTGAATTTTGTGTAGTGTGTTATGTATATAGTGTATTGTGTGTGTTATATGTATTATGCGTGTATGCGTGGTGTGTGTATTATGTATTTATGTGTGCTGTGTGTGTGTAGCATGTTATTATGTGTGTATGTGTGTGTGTGTCCTTGTTTCTTGAGCAGAATCTGGCTATATTATCCAGGCTGACCTCATTACAGTCATCTTTCTCTGCCTATTGAGTTCTGGATTGCCATGTCCACTGGAGGTCTCATGATTTTTGTTGTTGTTGTTGGTTTTGTTTTTGTTTTTCGAGACAGGGTTTCTCTGTGTAGCCCTGGCTGTCCTGGAACTCACTCTGTAGACCAGGCTGGTCTCAAACTCACAGAGATCCACCTGCTTTGCCTCCCAAGTGCTGGGACTAAAGGCGTGAGCTGCCACCTGGGTCATGATTTTTCTTACATATCATAGGATCCCTCACGTCTCTATAAATCCTTGCTGTCATATAAAGGCCACTTTGGATCCAAAGAGGAACAATAGGGAGAACTCCATGATAAAAAGCAGATAGTAGCCAGGCATGGTGGTACGTGCTTTTAATCTCTGAACTTGGGAGGCAGAGGCAAGCAGATTTCTATGAGTTTGAGGCCAGCCTCGTCTATGTACAGATCTATGTATCCAGGTCAGCCAGGGCTGTTAAACAGAGAAAACCTATCTCAAAAAACAAAACCAACAACAAAACATGGTAAATAACCATCAGAGTGAACAATTGGCTACTTATGAAAGTAAATTGCTAGTACTAGTGCCAGTCATGCATGCTATCTGTGATGTGTTATAATGTGCCTTGTTCCATTTATATTAAACATAATGTGTTCTACATATGCCATATGATAGTAAGATGCCACTGTCTAGATCTTATGATGATGGGACAGCACTGCCATTCTCTTATAACTTCATCAGATAGGGCATTGTTCAGAAGTTACACAACTTCTCTTGCAGAAGCAGTAATAGAATTTTCCCGGAGGCAGAGGCAGGCGGATGGAGGCAGAGGCAGGCGGATTTCTGAGTTCGAGGCCAGCCTGGTCTACAGAGTGAGTTCCAGGACAGCCAGGACTATACAGAGAAACCCTGTCTCGAAAAACCAAAAAAAAAAAAAAGTAGTTTCCCAGTATGCAAGATGGAAAAAAAGTTAAAATCTACAATTAGACATTTTCAGCCATGCATGATGACTCATACCTGTAATCTTTTTAGGTTTTTCAAGACGGAGTTTCTCTGTATAGCCCTGGCTGTCCTGGAACTCACTCTGTAGACCAGGCTGGCCTCAAACTCAGAAATCCGCCTGTCTCTGCCTCCCAAGTGCTGGGATTAAAGGCATGCGCCACCATATACCTGTAATCTTAATATTTGAGAGGTTGAGAAGGATTACTATAAGTCTAAGGTAAGCCTGGTCTACACAGCCAGCCAGAACCATAGAATGAGATCCTACTCAAATAAATAAATAAATAAATAAATAAATAAATAAATAAGACATTTTCTCAGGTGATGTGGTAGACACAGTAATCCCAGAATTCAGGCAAGAGGATTATATCTAAATTTGTGAGTTCCATGCCAGATAGTCTTCACAGCAACTTACTGGGATATACAGCAAGAGGCTGTCTCCAAAAAAGAGATACTGTAAACATTTTAGATAAGTGGGATGAAGAGGTGGTTCAGAGGTTAAGTGGCTGCTGTTCCTGAGGGCCCAGGTTCAGTTCCCAGCACACATATGGCAGGTCACAGCTGACTGTAACTCCAGTTCTAGGGATCCAGTGCCACCTTCTGGCCTCTGTGAGGACCAGGTATGCCACACATACGTGTAGGCAAAGCACTTACACATGTAAAAGAAATGAATCCAAAAGGAAATTAGAAAAGCATTTTACAAAACATTTGTGCTGAATGTCTACAGCTGTGACAAAATATTGGCAACAGACAACTGAAAGGAGACACTCTTGGGGTGACAGTTTCAGAAGTTTCCATCTGGGGTTGACTTCCAGGTGTTTTGGGCCTTTGTGGAGATAGCACAGTGAGGAAGGCATGGTGGGACACAGCTGCTTACCTTACTGTAGCTGGGAAGCGGACAGCCAGGGGACAAAGCCCTTTCCCCCAAACCACTACATCTCACAGACAGGTTAAGCTGTTGCCGAAGTGGCACTAGGGAGTGGTCATGCTGTTGCTTGAGTACAGTTTGAATTTGGCAGGGAATGCAAACCAGTGGTAGAACCTTGTCCTAGCATAAACAAAGGCCTGGGTGCAATCTCCAACACCACTACAAAGTGTGAATATAGTGGAAAAGACCTCGAATAAAATCTCCTAACATCTGAGAGAAGAAAATCATTAATGAATGCACTAGCACTGATTTTTTTTTTCTTTTCAGTTCATGCCAGTTGTTCAAACAGCAAGTGAACACAACCAACCTGTGAATGGAAGTTACTTTGCCCGTGCAAATCCTGCAGATGGACAATGTCTGCTGGAGAAATACAGCCAAAAATATCGCGATTTTGGATGTGCACTACTGGCTAATCTTTTTGCCAGCGAGGGCCAACCTGGCAAGGTGATTATGCCCTTAAGAACATAGTATTCTTTACATCTTCTCAGATAGCTAAGTAGGAGGTCTATTGTCCCTAATAGAGTTCTCCCAAGAAAATCAGATGTGCCAATGCCAACATTTTTATATGACCTATTTAGTTTACAAAAAAGATTCAGAATAGTACAGGGAAAGACAAAGTCTTTTTTCAAAACCCAAAGTTAAGAATATTTACTTAGTAAACAGAGCATCTGTTTGCTCTACTTTTCTGAGTAAAAGGTAACAAGATACAAATCTAGGATATTTATCACCTGCATAAAGCAATAAGATTAGGCCTACTTACAGGTGGGTAACTAGGTGTTTGTTTCAGAATGACCTGCACTGAGCTAGAAGTGTTGGTGACAAAAGCAAGAGCTGACAAGGAGCGTGCATGCCTGCTTGATCTCAGTGTTATCCCCTGTGGGGACCTAGACTGTGAAAGGAGAGAGCCTTGAGAAATGAGATAGGGGTGCAAAAGTACCCAAGAACACAGGCAAAACTTGTCCAGAATTTTAAAGGAAGTGAGACCTTGTAAATGTGCCTTCAGCTCTCATTACTCTAGGTGAATCTCTCTAAGCCCAGTAACTCATAAACTTTCTGAACCTCCTTGCTTTCCAGAGTTCAGAATAGGACTCAGTTCAGTACTCATGAGTAAGACTGTTGAAGTTACATATAGCTGGTGTGTGTGTGTGCGTGTGTGATGTAATGGAAAGAAATGAGGCATTTTAACTCTGATCCTTGTGTGCTGAACAAATAAGAATATTTACTTGGTGGCAGTAATTTTATAATGGTTGTTTAGGTAGTTGTCTACATAGAATTGTATAGTTTATGCAGTTATGAACACCATTTTACCCTCTCCAGGTCATTAAAGTGCAAGCCAAGAGGAGGACAGGAACACTTAACTTTGTGAGCTGTATGAGGCAGACTCTGGAGAAGCACTATGGTGACAAGCCCGTGGGGATGGGAGGCGCCTTCATTGTGCAGAAGGGGAAAGTGAAAGCCCACATCATGGTAAGCGCTGCGTCTGCTGCCTGCACACACTGCTGCCTGCACACCTACACACTGCTGCCTGCACAGACTGCTGCCTGGAGACCTACACACTGCATACAGCTGTCTGTGGAAGCAGACAGCTTTCCACAACTCAGGCTAGCTTCAAACTTACTACACAGACCACATTGCCTTTGGATTGACCAGCCTTTTGCCTCAGCCTGCTAAGTGCTGGCATTACAGATATATACCACCATTCATGGTACAGGTTTTTACTTTTCATATGGCCCAATAAACCATAACCAACCCCAATGTCAGAAATTTTCCCCTGTGTTTTTGTACGTTTTCTGTGCGTTTTAGCTGCCATTCTATCTTCTCCCCATTGAAGGTAACTTTTGTATATTACGCAGAGTCTACCTTCACCCACCCCTGTGCATGTGTGTGTCCAATTTTCCCTTTGGCTGGCACTGGTATTCTTGTTGAAAACTCATTCACCCAGGCAGGGGAAATTACTCAGTAATTAAGAGCACTCGCGGTTCTTTCAGAGGTCCTGAGTTCAATTCCCCCCATAGTGGTTCATAACTTTCATTATCTTGAGATCCATGGGCACCAGGCATGCACATGGTGCACACAGATACATGGAGGAAAAACATGAAAACACATAAAAATAAGTACATTTTTTAAAGGAAAAAAATCATTTGCACCCACCCCCACCCCATGGAATGCTTTGTTTTTGGCCTCTCTATTCTGTATCATTGGTCTACATGCATTCTGGTTAGGTTTTTATCAGTTTGACATAGGTTAGTCACCTGGGAAGAGAGAACCACAATTAAGGAAATGCCTCCATTAGATTGGCCTGGGAGCAACTCTGTGGGGTATTTTCTAAATGAATGATTGATGTGGGAGGGCCCAGCTTGTTATAGGCAGTGTGGTATAAAAAAAAAAAAAGCATGCCTAGCAAGCCATGGAGAACAAACCAGTAAAGAGCACCCCTCCATGGCCTCTGCTTCAGTTCCTGCCTTGTGTTCCTGCCCTGACTTCCCTTCACAATGGACTGTAAGCTGTAAGATAAAATAACACCTTCCCTACCAAGTTGCCATTGGTTGTGGTTTATCACAGCAATGGAAAGTAACAGGTAAAACATGCCTGTTTGTGCAGCTGGCACCATCAATTGCAGTAGACCTGTACATTTAGAAGTTAAAACGTGAAGACTTCTGACTTGTTTTACAGAATTGTTTTTAAAATTTCATAGAAATTTTAGGTGCATTTTTCTACTTGAAAAAAATAAAAAAGAAGTCAGTAAGATTTAAGTAGCTTGATATGGAGGTACATGCTTTTAATCCCAGAACATGGGAGGCAGAAGCAGACAGATCTCTGAGTTCCAGGCCAGCCAGAGTTACATAGTGAGACCAACATTTAAATAGCAATTACATTGATTTTCTCTGCTTTGCCCTTTGCCATCTTGGCGATCAAACCCAGGACCTCACAAACACCACAGAGCCATATTCCTAGCAACAATGAGTCTTGTTATTAGTTTTTGCTTTGGGGGGCCAGGCTGGTTCTAGAAGCCAAGGCCTCATACCCAGGAGGCCAGGACTGTAATGCTAAGACCCCTTCAGCACAGGGTCAAGTCCTTAGCTAGCCTTCAGGAGCGCTGGCATCTCGATCTTCTGTCATCTCTGTCTTCCCTAAATGCGGTGTGTTTTTCCATTATAATTTCTGTGTTGTATATTGTACGCGGTGTATGTGTGAATGCAGAAGCACACATGTGGAGAGAAGACGAGAACCTTTAAAAGTCTGTCCTCAGGCTGAGAGTTGCCTGCTCTGAAGACCTAGAGATAAGAGTGTAATGCCCAGATCCCACTTACAGGTAGAAGGAGAAAACACACTATGGAGTTACCCTCTGACCGACAATATTGGCACTGTGGTACACACACCTCCATCATGCATGTACACATCGATAATCCTTTTTTTTTTTTTAAGTTGGTTCTCTTCTGTTGTTAGTTTCAGGGATCGAATTTAGGACACCATGCTTTCATGGCAAGCACTTTTACCTGGTGAACCAAATTCCTGGCCCCACTCTGATTTCTTTCAGCAATTTTTATAGTTTCCTATATAAGTTCTCTCACCTCCTTGATTAAGCTTATTACAAAAAAGTTCTTGGGCTGGAGAGATGGCTCAGCAGTTAAGAGCACTGACTGCTCTTCTAAAGGTCCTGAGTTCAATTCTTAGCAACCACATGGTGTCTCACAACCATCTGTAATGGGATCTTATGCCCTCTTTTGGTGTGTCTGATGACAGCGACAGTTTAGTCATATATAAAATAAATAAATCTTTAAAAAAAAAACAAAAACAAAAACAGAAAAGTTCTTTATTCTCTTGGATGCCTCTGCCCGCTTCTAAACGTGTGTTCCCTTGTCCTGCCCACTTGCTGTCCTGGCAGCAGTTATGAGGTACAGACAAACACAGAGGAGCTCAGAGGAGCTCCTTGACTAGATGAGCAAGGCCCTGGGTTTGGTCCTAGCACTGAGGAAACTCTAAAGCCTAGGGTGAAGGGTTTGGGAAAAGGAAGGCGAGCAGTTCAGTGTTAGAGTACTTACCTAGATGGCAGGAGGTCCTGGTTCTAATCCCCAGAACTGAATGAGAAAAAATATTTTAGAATGGGGAGGGACTGGGGCTATGCCTCAGTGGTACAGTACTTGCCTAGAGTGTACAAGTCCCTAGGTTCAATTCCCAATATCACAAAAAAATTAAATGAAAATCACACATAAAATGGAACATGTATAACAAGAAGACTGCACATCTGTGGAAAGTAAAAGAAAAACAGTAATGCCTCATTTCATTAATTAGGAATAAGTTTTAGATTGTACAGGTTGGTTGGCTAGCCCTTTAAAAACTGCCATATGTGACCGATACCAAAGTGCACTCAGTGAAAAGTATAAACTCATAACAATGAGACCACACGTTTTTATTCTCATTATTTTTATTTTTCATTAATATTCAGTGTTTTGCTGTTTTACAATTTCTTATTGCAGCCTGCAGAGTTTTCTTCCTGCCCACTGAACTCGGATGAAGCTGTCAATAAATGGCTACACTTCTATGAGATGAAGGCTCCTTTGGTTTGTCTACCAGTTTTCGTTTCCAAAGACCCAGTGAGTCTTTCTCCTTCCTTTTATATGCAGTGAAAATGCTTGGTGGAATACTCATTCGTTTAATATTTTGTTAGTGTGCGTGTGCGTGTGCGTGTGTATGACATGGGTGGAGATCAGAGAACACCATGTGAGAGTCAGTTCTCTCCTACTATGTGAATACACAGATCAAACTCAGGTTGTTTGGCTTGGCAGCAAGCACTTTTGCCAGCTGAACCATCTTGCCCGCCTCATATTGATTGAGAATTAGGTAATTTGGATTTTTTTGAGGATGCACCAGGAGGATGTCAGAGGAGAAGGTTTACTGTAGATAAAAGCTTGAGCATAGCCAGAAACAGGGACATCTGGGAGAGTCCGTAGTGGACATGCCCCTGAGCCAAGTGAGGAGGAGGTGGGAGGGAGAGAGGAACCAGCTGCAGCAGCCAGGAGGGCAAAGGGTAAAAAAGGGGGGGGGCAGGTAACCAAAATGGCTGGATTATATAGGAAAGAAGAAGGATAGCCCAGCCCCTGGGCTGGAGAGTTCAGGGTAGAGGGCAGGGTAAGGCAGCCATACCCTGTAACTGGTAAGGACTGAGAGACACTAGGAGAACCTGGCAGCCAGGTCTGCTTTTATATGTTAAACAGGCATCTTAACCAGTTGTCCAAGGGTTTGAGACTTAATGTTACTGGCTATCTCAGAACTCACTATGTAGACCAGGCTGCTTGCCTCTGCCTCTCAATTGGTGGCACTAAGGGCATGTGATATCATGCCTGGCTTCTTTTCCCCTTGACCTTATGCATCAATCCAAGCCACCAACTCCCTCTTTAGCCAAGGATGACCTTGAACTTCTGATCCTTCTGCCTACATTTTCCTCTTTGGTGCTGAGGTTACAAGCATTGCCACCATGTCCAGTGTACGGACATTATCCTGAGAGACAAGGGATGTGTGGCTTTCTACACAGAGTGTTTGGCAGAGCAGACTTTACCTTCAAGAATTTTAAATAACACAGCAGTAGTGCTACTACACAATGGAAGAGCTGGGTGTGTCGGAACAAGCCTTTAATTCCAGCATTCTATAGGATCTCTGTGAGATCAGGCCATCCTGGGCTACACAGTGAGACCCTGTCTCAAAAAAATAAATAATAATAATAATAATAATAATAATAAAGCACAAGATTTAGGTCCCTTGCCATCCTGACTGGTGTTCATCGTATCCTAATGTTACATGCCAGAAAAAAAGTACTCTAGGCCAATTCGGAGAGTGTCTGCCAAAGTCCTGACTAGTGGGCCTTTTAAGCCAGTGCCTGCCATCTAAGATCTTATTTTTACAAGGCTGCACAGTGCTCAGTTAAAAGGCTACCAAGGACAACATTCTGTAGTAGTAGAAATATTGGAAATGTGTCCAGTGACACAGTGAGACCCTGAGCAGAACGCCAGAGAGTGTCCAAGAAAGCGAAGCACTTAATCTCTCATAGGCAGAAACTTGAAGATATATTGTAAGTTTGTGAAGAAAAAAAATTAAGTTGTATTTCTTTTCTATGTATGGATGTTTTGCCTACATGTAAGTCTGTGTGCCACAGGTGTGCCTGGTGCCCCTGGAGGCCAGAAGAGGGTGTCAGATCCCCTGGAACTGGAGTTACAGATGGTTGTAGCTGCTATGTTGGGGCTGAGAATTGCACATGGGTCCTCTGTTGATTCAGCCAGTGCTCTTAACTACTGAGGCACCTCTCTGTCCCGCTACATTGTTAATTTTTGAATAAGCAATATGCAGAAGAGTGTAGAAAGCTGCTGTTTGAATAAAAATGGTGAAAGTCTTCCTGGAAGGTCATACAGGAAGGTGCTTATATCTGCTGCCTTGAAGATAGACTTCTAGGGATTGCACTGACTGTACCATCCTGCATCCTTGCCTTTCTTTAGTGCAAGTCCATTGCCTACTTAAAAGCTGGTCAGCTGCAGATGTAGCTCAGTGATAGAGCCCTTGCCTGGCATGCATGAGGCCTTGCAGTCAAGGACCAGCACTACAAAAAGATTAATTGCAGGTTTAAGGGTAGATGCCTGTGGTCTGTCACTCAGAAGGTACAGTAGGAAGACTGGGAGTTTAAAGTTAGTCCCAGCCACAGTAAGTTCCTGTCCTAAAGAGAAAAAAAAAAAACCTTTAAGAAAAAGTAACAAAAGGCTTCTCTCCTTCCCCTTAAATACACTGTATTCAAAATAATTTGAATCTGTACTAACAGACTGCCTACTGTCCTAGGGGCTGGATTTGCGACTGGAGCACACACATTTCTTCAGTCATCATGGAGAAGGTGGACACTACCACTACGACACCACCCCAGACACAGTGGAGTATCTTGGCTACTTCTCACCTGCACAGTTCCTCTACCGCATTGATCAGCCCAAAGAGACCCATGCCTTTGGAAGGGATTAAAGCAGCTGGTTTAATGGTTAGCTAAAGTTAAATTACTAACCCAGCAACTGATAGTAATTAAAAAATATAGTAGAGGAGGAGGGAGAAGAGGAGGAGGAGGAAGAGGAGGAGGAGGAGGAGGAATGAGGAGGAATGAGGAGGAATGAGGAGGAATGAGGAGGAGAGAGCGCTTCCCTAGCAAGCCAAGGCCCTGCCTTAATCCACTGCACAACCAATAAAAGTAATTTCACTAAACATAGCACTATTTTTTATGGCATTTGAAATGCAAGGCTATGGACATATGATACTCATATTATTTAGCATTTTCATGTGAAGGAGAGTATTGGGAACATAGGTAACTAATTGAGATGTTCACTTTCCTATATGCTCACTTTAGTAAACCAATTTTATGTCTTTATAGCCCAGCAAAGCCTACCTTTTCTTCATACCTCAGATATGAACATGGACAGGGATCTTCCATTATTCCTGCTATCTAGGAAGAACTTACATTTGGGTGGCATTACTAGATTTTTCAAGTTCATCTCACAAGGGCTAATGGATTATTACTCTAATACTGAGTATTAGATACAACAGTGTGGAATCTTTGCACTGAGTTTTAAAACCCCACTCGGGAAATCAGTGTACTATGTTCTCAGCACTTGGGGGGCTCCCTACACTCAGAAGTCTGCAGCTGTCTTCTACAGATGTTAATAACATTGACTAGCCAGGCTCTTCCTGAATTAGGTCTCTATCCAACAGTTTTACCTTAGTAACAGTTTGAAAGATAAGAGAGAAAAGAAACAGCAACAAAACACAACACTGAACTCGGCCATTCTCCATTGTGAGATATAAAACTACTCTCTTAGTGTGAAGTGTCTTAAAAAGACACCTTTGTACCTGCCCTTTCTTTGGCTATATGGACTGTTGAGACAATAGACAAGACATTGGAATTCCCTCAGGAATTTCATGCCAGAGGAAGGAAAAGGCTGAGGCCTGGTGCCAGCCAGAGGAGGAACTTGTCTCCAGGAAAGAGATGTCACATAGCTCTCAGGACAAACAGAAGCCTAGACAATGGTGGCGGGCAGGACCACAGGTTGACCTGCTTTGTTAGGCATACCTCGTGCCTTCTACTTAAACTTGAACCTCATGCCAGGACCCAACATGGATTCTGCAGGATAGTGGGGAGGGATGGGAATCCAGAGACCTGTTTGTTCCTCTTCCCAAAGTGATTACATTCAAGAAATCTTTTTGTGCTTTTTCAAAAGATATTACACTATTACTGTGCGCTAATGGTTAGCATATGGTGATGATAGTTAGAAAACTCCTTGCTGTTCTGTATCATAGAACCTGTGATGATCATTAGCCAAAAATCAACTTTCGATCCTTGCTAATGGCAATAAGATGTGGGTCTAGGAACTCTTTAGAACTAAGCCCTAAATGTTTTCTGATTCTTTACTTTGTAATGCACATGCCTTGTATTATTTTTAATAAGTGTTATTTTTAATTAAACATGATTTTTGAGATGAACCTGAATAGAATAATTTAGTACTGTTTTTCTTTTCTCTCTCATTTATTTGTTTATTTATTGAGACAAGAGTGTCTCTATGCTGTCCTGGAACTCACACTGTAGAATAGATTGGTCTTGACCTCTAGATCTGCCTGCCTCTGACTCCCAGGTACTAGGAATAAAGGTGTGTGCCACCACTGCCCAGCTGATCAGCTGATAGTTTCTTTTAATACCTTACCTCAACAAAAACAATATTACTAACTTTTTTGTTTGTTTTTGGTTTTCAGTTTTTCTAGACAGGGTTTCTCTGTATAGCCCTGGCTGTCCTGGAACTCTCTCTATAGACCAGGCTGGTCTCGAACTCAGAAATCTGCCTGCCTCTGCCTCCCAAGTGCTGGGATTAAAGGCATGAGCCACCACCGCCCGGCCAATATTACTATTTTTAAACGTGTGTGTATGTGCTACATGTTTGCATGTCCACGACATAAGTGCGTGTTCATATGGAAGCCAGACGTTATCCCCAGTCTCTTTGATTTCTCTCTACCTTACATAGTGAGGCTTGCTGACTCAGGTAGGCTAATCAGTGTGATCCTGACTTTACCTCCATGAGCACTGGGAATACATGAGCTGCCACACCCACCTGGCTTTTTATGTGGGTTCTGGGGATCCAAGCTCCAATCTTCACACTTGTACAAGGGCTTGATCACCCCAGCCTAGTGCTAGTATCCTCTTATCTCACTTGCCCTGTACTCTGGAGCTGAGGGACGTATTAACTCACCATTGTAACACAGTGCCAAAAATAAGCATACAGTAAATATCTGCTGGGTAGGTGGATGATTATGCCAGATATGTCACTAGATTCTGGGATATGTTTAGTTGAAGAAACCAAACAAATATTATGTGATTAACATATGACTATGTGAAGAGAAATGCAGCAGGGGTGGAACATAAAAAGAATTTTATTTCTTCATGAGGTGTCCTGTCCATCAGGACATTAAACAGGGGTCCGGGGAGATCACCTGAAAGAGAAGATGGAGGAAACAGGCGAACACAAGGAACATGGCTTGTCTATAGGCTGATCAAACCGTAATTTTTACTTTTTCACACACAGGTTATATACACAAAAAGGCAGGATGTGGGGAATGGGATGACGCAGGAATGTGGGTGTTAAGGGGGAATACAGATTGTTCAGGGGGAGTACAGATATCTTCCAGAACAGAGTGTCAGCTAGGTGAAGGTTCAGGGGACAGACCACTATGACTCCGCCTATGATTCACTTGTCTTTATCTAAGTTGGTACTATCCACCAAGGTTACCTATCTTACAAGACCTATCAGTAGCCAGGCTTGGCAGCCTTCCACCAAAGCTGCTGTTTACAGTAACTCCCAGCTATCTGTTTCAGTGTTTTTCCACAGAGATCCAAGACTTGATGCTAGCAGGCATGTATGTCAGGCCTATTGCTGATTTTAGGTGTATGGCTGATTTTAGGCCTTCAGTGTATAAGCAGGGCTGCTCCCAACAGTGGGGTCCCACACTGAGAGGATGGATTCACTTCCTTAATTTGATTCAAATATCAAGACTAGTGAAATCACACACCTACAAGATTAATCCTAACATAAGGAAGGTTTCTAGAGAGATCAGGAGGGCTACTAGGCCTGTCTGAAAACAATGGCCTGACAGAATAGGGAAAGACTGGCTTTAATAGTTCCTGTATGAGCTTGGACTTTCCCACAGACATCAGTGGAGCATTCGGGTGCTCTTGACTTGTCAAATGTAGGTTTAAAGGCTGCCTGCAGTCAAGCATCACAAGTAGAATCAGGAGCTGGAAAGATGGCTCCACAGTGCTTGCTGCTCTTCAAGAGGACCTGCGTCTACTCCCTACCACCCACATCAGGTAGCTCACAACTGGCTGTAACAACAGCTCCAGAGAGTCCAGTGCCCTCTTCTGATCTCCATAGCACCTACACGTGCATGTGGGGATGGACACCAACACACATAAACGCTCATTTCCCTGCAGAGATTGCACTGCCAAGTGGAAGAACTGATACTCTTCAGTGTTCAACTGGCAAAGTGCTCTCTGCTCTGCCTGGATGGAAATCCTGGGTAGGCAAGCTTGTTAAATGTTGGTTTCCAGAAGCTTTTGTTTCCCTCAATGTCAGACTGTAATGAGTGGTGACAGTGTTGGGGGCCAGGGTGAGGAGTGCATGGTAACTGGAACCCTCTAATGTTTCTACTTCCTTGTTAAAAGTTGGCCTCCAGCAGCTTTCGTTTCCCTCAGTGTCTGACAGCAGTGGGTAGTGACAGTGTGCATGGGTAGGGACATTGTAAATGAAACTCTCTAATGCCTCCACCTCTCTTTTTCTTTGTGCCCTGACTACTCTAGGAACTTTTCAGTATTTCCTTCAGCTGTCAGTACCGTGGTCACAACTACTTGGAGCACTATCTCTGCTAGGAGTGTTTGAGAGCCAGGGCAGCTGGAGGGCTGTTCAGACTCTGGACACTGGGCCCAACTCAAGAAGCATCTCTTCCAGCAGATGGAATCTCCAAAGCTTTAGTGGCTGTACCAGCACTACTAGTGGGATGCAGGCCTGTGGACATTGTCAATAAGAAGTCAGAGGCTTCTGCAGACTACAGCTTCTACAGCTGTCAGCCAGGCTTGCTAAGGCCTCCATCTACACCTTGTAGTGGGAAGCGAGGGCCCAAGGACTTGACAAATGACTTCTAGACAAGGCAAGGTTGTTCAGAGCCCAAGATTAGACTCAAAGTGGTATCAAGGGCCAGCCTGGTCTACAGAGTGAGTTCCAAAACAGCCAGGGCTACACAGAAACTCTTAAAACAAACAAACAAACAAACCAAAATCACTGGATGGAAGTTGGGGGTTTAGTACCTATCAAGCTGTGGGACACTGTTGCCAATCAGCGTTCCTTGCTTTTTCTGGTGCAGCCTGCAAGTTGAAAGTAAGTAGGGAATGGCTACTCAGTAAAAGGCATGGCTGGACCTGACATCCTAACACCATGAGGAGAATGCCTCTTGGTGGGTCACCTGAGGAGTAACCTGCTCATACAGCCCAAGAAGGGGTATTTGGGCCAATCACAGCCATTTGTTTGGCTAAAGACAACTGTCTTTTGTCCGTGTGTGTACATGTCTGTGACTGTGTGAGTGTATACCACTTATGTGAGGAGACAACATAGCTCTCCATTTTGTCATTAAACCACTAGTCACAGCGGTCTGCACCAAGTCCTGGCCCAAACTGTGCCTACTAGACCAGGACAATCAGTTACAACCTTTTGTATAGGCATATCTGAGTGTTCTTGTAGTGTTTAAGACACCTGGTGCGGTCTGGATGGTAGCACTACTAGCTGTTTGACTAAGTCTTTTTGCTGGAAATCAGAGAGACTCCAACAGCTGCGAATTATACGGTGTCTTTGTAAGTGTTTACATAAATGTAAAGCCCTTACTTGTAACGGTACATACGTCTTCATCGTTAACTTCACTGAATGTAAAATCACCTAGAGGACATACCTCTGGGAGTATGTTCTCAGAGAGGTTTAACTAGGAAGTGAAAACCTACCCAGAAAGTGAGTGGACGCATCCCAGTGACTGGGTCCCAGACTGAATCAATGGGAGTGGTGTGGTGGGTACGCTGCGTGTCCCAAAAATCAAATAACTAACCAACTAACAAAGAAGCTGCGTGTCTCAACAACCAATCAACAAATTAATCAGATCAATAAGAAATAAGTTATTTTAAAAACCAAGCAACCAACTAAACAAACAAACAAACAAACAAACAAACAAACAAAAATTACAACACCCAGCGTATCTACATAATCAGCACACACTACTTTCAATGCTGCGGCGCGCCTCAGTCAGACGGAAGTTTCCGACTCTCGCGTGCAGCATACCGGAAGTGTCCGGGCAGCTGGCCCTCCGCGCCTGCTCATAGCGTTCCGCGAGACGCTACGCGGAGGATTGTGGGGCAGCGGTGGTGGTTGGTTTCCGCCCGGGCCGTTGCGTCGGGCTTTCGGGGAGCCTGGTGTCCAGGTTTCTGTGTCCGTGCTGTTTCTGAGTCTCCCGCGGGTCTCCCGCAGGCCGCCGCCAGCATGTCGGGCGTGCGAGCTGTGCGCATCAGCATCGAGTCGGCCTGCGAGAAGCAGGTGCAGGAGGTGGGCCTTGATGGCACCGAGACGTACCTGCAGCCGCTGTCTATGTCGCAGAACCTGGCGCGCCTGGCGCAGCGCATCGACTTCAGCCAGGGCTCCGGCTCTGAGGAGGAGGAGGCGGCGGGGCCTGACAGCGACGCGCCTGACTGGGGCGGCGCGGGGGCCGACCAGGACGACGAGGAGGGTGAGGCTTCGCCCTCGTTGCTGGTTCTGCCCCAGGTTCTCCCCTAGGAGTAAAGTGTGTTTTGTGGTGGGCGCCCTTGAGCTTAGCAGCCCCCACTTGTAATGAGAAGTAGTGACAGCAGTGGGAAGGCCGACCTAGTCGGGACGAGGTGTCACGTATAGCCTGGCAATCGCCTTTTTTTTTTTTTTTAGAACAGCCGAATGCTTTTGGGGGTGATTTTAGATGGAAACAGGTGATACTTAAAGATACCACTGAAACTTTGAGGTGCATGAATTATAACGAAACAAAACTGAAAGGGAAATTTGGAGAAGCAACTAGACTGGATTTCGGATTCTTCTTATCAAAGAAACAAAAATTTAGAAACCACAGTTCTTGATTTAGTGATGTGACAGAGTTTGTTTAAGTGGGGATGTTCATGTCTAGTGTGGCAATTGGCCAGGCAGAGGAAGTCAGATTTATGAAAAGCATGAGCTAATAGTGAGACACCATTTCAATAATTAAATAAAAATTTAAATGTAGTTTTCATAAATTTTGCAGAAAGTTAAAACACTGGGGACTGGAGAGATGGCTCAGCGGTTAAGAGCGCTGACTGCTCTTCCAGAGGTCCTGAGTTCAAGTCCCAGCAACCACATGCTGGTTCACAACCATCTGAGATGGGGTCCAGTGTCCTTTCTGGTGTGTCTGAAGACAGTGTACTCACATACATTAAATCAAGTAAATCTTTAAAAAAAAAAAACAACATTGTTATTATCCTGTATTGGAAGGGCAGATTAGCTCAGTAGTTTTAAATGCAAAATTTTAAATGTGTATCGTATTTGATCCATGAAATCCCCACCTACAGAACTGTAGAGTGTAAGTGTGTATTGAGATCCAGTACTGCCATGATTAGAAGCATTTGACCTATTAAGTGACAGGCTTAAATGGCTGCCTCCAGGCTTCCAAATATCTTGAGATGTGTGAAAGAATGAGTAGGTCCTATATTCTGGGTTGAGATATCTCTAAGGACATACCAACTAAAGGAATGGGCAAGTAATAGTATTGTGTTAAATTTGCTGGGAAAGCTTTGGAAGGGTTCACCCCAACTGTTAAGAATGGTTATGTCTCAGGAGGGAGGAGAGTCAGGCCTGAGATTAAAAGAAAACTTTTGACTTTCACTCCCTGATCCTTTATCGTGAACTCTGTAGAGTGAGCATGTATTAAAAATTGATTAAAAGGAAGATATACTCATGCAGCCAATAGTAATGCTGGTGGTATTGGCCATTTGAGGCTTTGCCTGTTGTTTTGCAGTTCAGGAATTTGCTACAGGTATTCAAGTTCTAAATGTTGGAAGGAAGCAGGTTATTTTAAAGGGGCCTGGAGATATAGCTCAGTGCTTATCTGGGATGAATGAAGCCCTAGGTTCAGAAAGATTCGAGTGCCTACCTAAGATATCTTACTGACAGTTTTGGGCCTGTGGAAATTACACTGGCATTTGTTTTGCCATAAAAGGAGTATTAACTGTTAACAGTTCAAGACAAGGCATGGGGAGGAGGTGAAAGAGGGGCAGTTTGTAAGAGAACTCATTTCTCCTTTTCACACTTTTAAACCTCTATGAGCCTTCTTCTGTCTTGTATTCAGTGTAACCAGTACACATGTGTTTCTGTTTTTCAGGGTTGGTAAAATTCCAACCTTCTCTGTGGCCTTGGGACTCGGTGAGGAACAATTTGCGAAGTGCCCTCACAGAGATGTGTGTTCTCTATGATGTCCTCAGTATTGTCAGGGACAAAAAGTTCATGACTCTGGACCCTGTCTCTCAGGATGCGCTTCCTCCCAAACAGGTATATGTGCCCTTTAACTGAACATCTTTTAAGTCCTAGGACCAATATTTGGTTGTGTGCGTTTTGCTCCCTTTTATTTTGTTGAAAAATTAAATCCACAAGCTAGAGCAATGGCTCAATGATTAAGAACACATATTGTTGTTACAGATGACCTGAGTTCTTAGTACCCACGTCAGGCAGCTTAAACCTGCCTGTAGCTCCAGGAGATCTGACACCCCCTAACCTCTTCAGATGCACAGACACACGTGTACAGATAAAAGTAGCATTAGGATTACAAAAGAGAAAAATTAAGTCCTGGCAAAGATGTAAGGACTGAGCGCTTCACAGATGAGGAGTATCTATGAATCTGGCTCCTTATATAGATAGAGAATGAGTGTGGCCTCTCTCCAGGTACTAACCAGGCCTGACCAACTTAGCTAGTCTGTGAGGTCAGGTGAGGTGGTGGGAATTCAGAGTAGTATAATTGCAGAAGGCTGGGGCCTTTTTGTGAAACTTACTCTTGCAAAATCTTTCGCTTCGTCTTTGGACACTCTTTACTGTTGGACAACTTGCACTTGTTAGACTTGTCATGTAGGAGTGTAGCTACTCAATAAAACACAAAGCTGGTGGTTGTGCACGCAGTCTGCAGTCACTTTTCAGCAGCTTCCATGAGTGAGTGTAGTTAATGCAGTGCTTCGGACTGATACCAGTCGAGATTTCAAAAGTCCTGGAGGCACCTACTTGGTCTTATGTCAGTTGTAAGCTTGGTGTTGATGTGTACCATATAGATGCTGATTTCTTTGTGTAGTTACATCTAAGCAGGGGGGTGGAATTTAACATGAAGTATGGGCGCCACAGAAAGGCATGCATAAGTTGGAGCTGGATGGTGAGGACAGGGCTCCGGCCTAGTTTGCCCCAAATGGCGTATTGCTGAGTTCTCATTTCTGGGCCACTATGGTGATTTGGCTTAAGGTCACTTTGTAAGCTTGCCAAGAAACAGGTTACGTTTGTTGTTTAAAAAAAGTTTTGCACGGGAAGATTTTTTTCAAAGCCTTGGTATGTTACTTCACCATCTGCTCATTTTTCTTCTACATTTATTCATTATGTTTTTGTGTATGTATTTGTATGTGTGTGTTCGTGCACACATGTGCGCATGGAAGGATGTAGAAGCCAGAAGTTACCCTAGATATCTTTCTCAGTTCTCTCTGAATTTTTATATTTTTGAGTCAGTTTTTCTTTCTGAAGGTAGAATTCACTAGTTGACCAGATTGACTGGCCAGAAAGCCTCCAGAATTGCCCTTCCCTGGGCTTGGAATGCCAGGTTCCTGTTGCTGTACTGGGTTGAATTCGGATGCTGGAGATGGAACTCAGCAGGCCTCATGCTTGCATGGCAAGCCCCTTGCCAACTGTCATCCCTGTTCCTTCATGTGTGTGCGTGTGTGGGGGTGGGGGGTGTTTAACCACAACTTTTCTTCCAAGTAAAATATTTTCTGCTTGAGAAAATATGTAGTTTTAAATGTATCTAAGATAATTTGGAACTCATTTTTTTTTAAATGTTTTTTTGAGGAACTCATTTTTGATAGAAAACATGCTATATTATTTTTTGCTAGAGTCCACAGACACTGCAGCTGATCTCTAAGAAGAAGTCCCTTGCTGGAGCGGCTCAAATCCTACTGAAGGGAGCAGAAAGACTGACCAAGTCAGTGGCTGAGAACCAGGAAAATAAGCTCCAGCGAGACTTCAATTCTGAGCTCTTGAGACTACGGCAACACTGGAAACTGAGGAAAGTGGGGGACAAGATCCTGGGTGACCTGAGCTACAGAAGTGCAGGTACAGATATCTGACCGTAGAAATTGCTTTGTATGTCTCCTAGCTTCCTGCCATGATCATTTCTCACCTCCCTGTGATAGTTAATATCTTTACCCATAAGCCAAAACCATTCTTGGCAGAGGTTGGTGTCACACACCTGGATGGAGTCCTAACACTTGGAAATTGAAGTGGGAAAGTCAAGAGTTCAAGGGGAACTTCGCCTACATGAGATCCTCCTTATCTTGAAAATCCCTAGACAGGCCAGTCTTACTGTAGTAGCTACACCGAAGAGAAAGTTTGAAGGCAGCATATTTAAGGTTTGGAGTCCAGTGAGAGATGGCCGAGAAGTCCTGCTGGGATGCTTGAGAACAGTACTAGAGATGTCAAAGATTCCTTGTACCAAAGTCAGGCTGCTACTAAAACACAATCTGGAGTCAGTGCCCCACACTGATGTGAGTTCCACTGCAAGATAAATTGGTGCTTTCTGGTTTTAGACATTGTAACTTCTTTACCCAAAATAATTACGGGCAAACACTTAATTTCTCTTTGGGCTGATCCCTTGAGGTTATGGAAGAGTTTAGTTGCTCTCTTTAACTGCAAGAAGATCCTGAATGTCTTTTCTTATTAGACTGGCATTGCACTTAACCATCCACTAACAATGTAGCCGTTACTTAGATTTCTGACTTGCATCGAGGTGCTGCTGCACATCAAAGTAGAGTTGCTGGCTGGAAATAGTACTCTGAGCACTGCTGGCTTGTCTTTCTGATGCTGAATTCACTTTATCAAAACTCCAAGAGAATAGTGTGTAGTCTGTAGAGGTCAGGTTACAGTGATGTCTTTAGGGCGGGTGCAGGTGTGCATCACCATGCTCACGAAGTCTTATGTTGTTTGGTTTTATTTGTAGACAAGATCTCTTGTGTAGCTCTCCTTGGCCTGGAATTCCCTATGTAGACCAGGCTGACCTCAAACTGTAGATTCACCTGTCTCTACCTCTTTTCTACTTTCTTTTTGGTTTGACTCATCCAGCAGGACTGTGGCCATCTCTCACTGGACTCCAAACCTTAAATATGCTGTCTTTGAACTTTCTCTTCAGTGTAGCTACTACAGTAAGACTGGCCTGTCTGGGAATTTTCAAGATAGGATGTCATGTAGGCAGTGTTGGCTTTGAACTCTTGACCCTCCCGCCTAGGCCTCTAAGTGCCTCCCTCTCATTGTGCACATTTCTAATGGAAAGAATTCATATTTAGTGATGTGGGGGTAAAGTGTTATACTTGATAATTTGTATTAATTTGTTATGTTAATTATTTTGATCTCTTAAACCCAATTAGGCTCTCTCTTTCCCCATCATGGTACCTTTGAAGTGATAAAGAATACAGACATTGACTTGGATAAAAAGATACCAGAAGATTACTGCCCTCTAGATGTCCAGATTCCTAGTGATTTAGAGGGGTCTGCATATATCAAGGTACTGATTAGCATTTTTCAAGTTATTTCTTGGCAATTACCCTGAAGCGACTTTGCTAACATTTTTCATGTTCTGTAGGTTTCTATTCAGAAACAGGCTCCAGACATTGGTGATCTTGGCACAGTTAACCTTTTTAAGAGAACTTTGCCCAAATCCAAGCCAGGTATGTCATGGTGTCTATACTTCATTCTATACTCACATACTCAGTAAGCCAAGTGTAAAGAGAGAGGAAAGGAGACCTTTGGTGTGAAAACAATAGGACGTTGGTGGTTATTGAAGATGTCTTAAGCAGTGAGAGTTAAGAGAAGAAGGATGCTCAGGAAGAAAGCTATCCCAGAGTGTGGATGTGGGTTTCTTAAAGAGCTGCCATCTGTGTTTGTTTTTTTGAGACAATCTTTGACTTTAAACTCATAATCCTTCTCCCTCAGCCTTCTGCATGTTGGAATTACAGGCATGAAATGCCATGCTTGCTTCTGGAAATGTACTTTTTATTAAAAATAAAGCATTAGTGAATAGCTGTATATTTTTGTAGGTTGAAGTACACTAGGTGTCTCTGTGTAAAAGAAGATGTTCAACGTCTCCAAGGCTCAGAATATCACGGCAAGTGGAGACACTAAGAATATAGAGGTTGGGGAAGAGTGCTCAGAAGCACTGCCTTCTGGGCATGGCACAGCCGTGCACTCATGCACTCTGGCTGTGGTTACCTGCTGCAGACTTGTACCTGACAGGGCCCCATCATTCCACTGTGGGTGGTCGAGGGGCTCATGAGGCCTCACCCTTACTGAGGGACTTCGGGCTACTAATGGTTTCTAGGCAAGGTGATGCAGACAAGAGTCCCTGCAGGCATTGCAGCCAGCATCAGAATTATACAAGTGAGTAAGACTGACACTCTGTTCAGCTTGACATCACTGGTTCAAACTTGTAGAGTCTGACAGCAGGCAGTTTATTTTAACCATATAAGTACAGCACAATTTTGGAAGAAAAGTTTTCTGATGACAAGTAACTAATTGCCACGTGTACAACAAAGCTTAAGACATGTTCACATTGAAATTCTTTACAAAGTACATATGGCTTCTTCCATAAAGATGGGTACTGTTGACTCAGAAACAGTGCCCAAGATTTAGGGTCTAGGGAACTTGACTGAGGTAAACATAATGCCTGTAGGTGTCAGGATTGGCCCGGCCCTAAGATAACACAAAAGTCATTTAGGCTGATGTAAAGCACAAGTGACATCTCATAAGGATGTGTTTAATGTTTAATGGACTTAAAAGCAATGTTCAAGGTTTATGGGAAAGGGTCTGGGAAAAACAAAACAGTATTCTAGAGTATATGGGCGGAGCCTGGCTCTATAGGTACAAGGATCACCAGGTTGTAAACGACATCCTTTCCGAGCATTCCAGGAGGAAGACAGGTAAACTTCTTCCTTTGAAGACATAGCCTACGTGTTTAACTTTGCATGGATTTTCCAGTGCTTATCTGTGTTCACTAGGACCTCTGGACCTCTAGTGCAGCCACTGATTAGCTGTCTATATTCCTGTAAATAACCCCGTGCTCATATGAGCAGCTACAAACTTTGACACACACATGCATGCAGGAAAGAAGCTTTGGAAGAAGAGTTTGAGTAGGAAAGGAGATAGAGAGGGAGGGAGGGAGGGGAGGGAGAGAGAGAGAGAGAGGGAGGGAGGGAGGGGAGGGACGGAGAGAGGGAGGGAGGGGGAGAGAGGAGAAAATGACCAAAAGCTTGTCTGCGTCTGTGAAATTGTGGAATTTTTTAAAGTGAGACTTTGTGTTTGAACAGAGGTTATAGCAGTATTCTCTGAAGCTTTGATTATGAAGTGAGGTCATTGTTCGTGCAGCTGTATACATGATCTGGCTGGACATGGCTTTATACACATGCCTTCTGTCTTTCAGGTTCCCCACACTGGCAGACAAAATTAGAAGCAGCACAAAATGTTCTTCTTTGTAAGGAAATTTTTGCACAGCTTTCTCGGGAAGCCGTTCAGATTAAGTCTCAGATCCCTCACATTGTGGTGAAAAACCAGATCATCTCTCAGCCCTTCCCAAGTAAGAGCAGGCAGCCTGCTGAAACCTGCAAGCAGGACTTTATGGTGTGGGTGTGCTGTAGGAGTGGCCTCAGGTAGAGGCTCCGCTGTGCATCATGGTGTCCAGGAAAGCCAGCGGTGCTGCCCACTCTGTTCTGTGACCTGAGGGTGGTATCTTGGGCTTTCATGGCATATGTTAAAAATTGTGGTGCTGTGGTTTCAGGCAGCAGCAGTGCTGTCAAGTGGCATTTGTTTCAAAGATACTTGTATTTTCTAAATGAGGTACCAACTTAAAAAAAATAGGATATTCCTAAATTTGTAGAAGAAATTTTTGTTCAGAAGCAGTCAAGCTTAGCCTAGAAATCAGTTGTCAGTGGCTGCATACTTGTTAGTTTAGGGTTAGATGCCCTATGCTTTTAGGAGCAGGGAAGAGAGCCTGGCAAAACTAGGCCCTAACTTCTTGTTGATATATAACTAGAAAAGCTTGTTTTTAAGATTCTATGTTTGTAAAAACCAAGCATTGAGAATTGTCCCCAGTCTTCTTGAGTTACAGCTCAGGATCAGAGCCACAGTATAGTCTGTGGAATATTACTGTTGTCCAAGCCTATGAGAATTTATCGTGTTAAGTAAAGGAGGTCATTGGAGTCGAGGTACTCACGTGAGGCCTGATGGTCCACTTCAGATTCTTGAGAATGCACTGTGATTGTCTTTTGGGAGGATGGCCTCAGCATCCAGTTCTTGGCTTATCTGCATCTGTCCTGCCTCTCTACACAGGCTTGCAGTTGTCCATTTCTCTGTGCCACTCCTCAGATGATAAGAAGTCCCAGAAATGTGCTACAGAGAAGCCTGGTCAGGAGGACCACCTCTACGTCTTGGAGCATAACTTGCACCTGCTGATCAGAGAGGTACCAACTCCAGTGAGGCTCTGCAGTGTGAGCACAGCAGAGCAGTGATCGAGCCTTGCACTGAGGCTCAGTAATGTGCAGCAGTGGTGCCCCTGCCTGATATGAATGAGCCTGCTGTGTTCCAGACATCATCAGTACACAGTCCTTGGGCCCAGAAAATCTTGTAGGGATATACAGCAAGTTCTGGAGTTATCATGAGAAGCACGTGCCACTGTACAGAGAAGGGTGGCTCTGGTGGGGAGGCCTGGGCTGTCCAACATCATGTTTTGAGACTCCAACCTCCCATCACCCCCACCCCTAGTCCCCATTCCCAGGATGGAGTTCTATTGATTGTAATGGTATAAAAGCCAGTGTTTTCGGTTTTTTAGACTGAGGATTTCCCTCAAGGTGGCAGGGTGAGGCTCTCAGTTCAATCCCACCATTACATGTTTCTTGGGGTTCTGCCAGGCAGTCTAGGCAGTTGATTAACTATCTGATCATGAGATGAAATGAGACTTAATGAAGAATGCTTTGTAATTTAAACTTTGAAAATAAAAATCACAGTTCAAAGGAACCCACCTCTTTATAGACGTGAATCATGCACATGGTCACTGAGTGCATTTCTCTCTGTATCAAGGTGATGGTGGTGATGATGATTTGAGGATAGGGTCTCACTGTAGTCCTGCCTGACTCGCAACACCTATGTAGACCAGGCTGGTGTCTGCCTCCCGAATACTAAAATTAAAGGCATTACTATTACATTTGGCAAGATTACTTTTTACTTATTATTTTCACTATTTCCAAAAATAATTTGAGCCCACCTTTGAACCTTTGATTAAACATTTCTGTCATGTTTATTACATGGGTATTGGTTATTAAAAGTGGCTTTTTTTTTTTTTTTCAGTTTCATAAACAGACCTTGAGCTCCATCGTGATGCCACACCCAGCAAGTGCTCCCTTTGGCCACAAAAGAATGAGACTCTCAGGGCCTCAAGCTTTTGATAAAAATGAAATTAATTCAATACAGTCCACGGAAGGACTCCTAGAAAAAATAATTAAACAAGCAAAGCATATTTTTCTAAGGAGCAGGTGAGGATGAAGAAAGTTACTGTTTTCTGTAAAGTTGAGTCCTTTTTCTGTCCTCTTTATGTTGATTTTGGGTACATGTTAGCAGAAAGTGGCTAAGAGAAAAATTATGGTGACAGACTGGGTCTTGTCCAGTTGAGGGGGGTGGGGGTGGATAGGAGGGGTGTTGGGGGTGCAGATCCTGCTATCAGGTTGAATGCTCTGTTTTTAACACTACCCAGAACCAGTCTAGACAGCTGGTTGACAGCCAGGAAAATGACTCTTCTCCTCCCTTTGTGTTTTGTTGTGTTTGGCAGCTCATCCTTGAAGCCCTTACTCCCATGTTGACTTAATTGTTACTTGGGGCAGATAACATTAAAGCCTTTTTTATTTCCTTCCTGATGAGCTGGTTGAGGCTTAGATAATTTAGTTTAGTTTGCTCAGCTAAAGCCAACAGCCCAAGGCTGTGTTAGCTCCAAAGTGTGTCTCTTTTTTGTTTTGAGTAGCCCTGGCCTTGAACTGAGAGCTACTTTGTCTCTTAACTGCCTTTGCTAGTGCTGCTGCCCCAGCCTCACTGTCTGTGGCTGGCGCGGTGAGAGGGAAGTGCATCTTCCTGTGTTAACATCTGCCCTCTCTTCCATACTGACACTGGCGAGGAGGTCTGTTTCATCTTGCCTTGAAGGTTCTGTAGCATTGTCATTTAGCAGGTGGTACTGCTTGTGGATATCTTGTTTCCAGTGGCTTCTTACCACTTGTCATGCTGATCCTATCGAGAGGTGCCCAGTTTTTGTTGCTTATGTCTAGCAATCATTGCTGACTTTCTTGATCGGTGATGTTTGGATTGTGCCCAAGTCTCTAGTGCCATGTCCAGCAGGGCATTAAACAGGGGTCCAGGGAGATCACCTGAAAGAGAGTGGGGGGAAAACAGGCAGACGCAGAGAACAGTGGCTTGTCTATAGGCTGATCAAACCGCCAATTTTACTTTTTTCACACAGGGGTTATATACACAAAAAGGCAGGATGTGGGGAAGGGGATGACGCAGGAGCGTAGGTGTTCAGGGGGAGGACAGATATCTTCCAGAACAGGGTATCAGCTGGGTTGAGGGTTCAGGGGACAGGTCACTATGACTCTGCCTATGATTTACTTGTCCTTATCTAAGTTGGTACTTTCCACCAAGGCTACCTATTTACAAGGTCTATGACTATCCACAAGACCTATGACTACTTGTTCTCATCCAGGCTGGTAAATTTCCACCAAAGCTGCCTGTTTACAATATCTTATAGCTATCTGTTCAGTGTTTTTCAAAGAGACCCAAGACTTTGTGTTAGCAGGCTGAGTTAGGCCTATTGCTGATTTTAGGCCTTCAGTGTATAAACAAGGCTGCCCCTGACACTCTAGTTTGCCTTATGGTTTATTCCAGGTGTAGGTATATCCCAAGTCAGTTGTTACCAAAGACCACTAATATCTGGGTGCATATCAGATTAGTACCTGGGACTATCTTATCTGTGTGGAATAAGCTTTCATGAGCCGGAGAAGATGAATGAGGTGGTTTGAGTGTGTGTTGTGGTGCAAAGCTATGACCAGCACAGCAGTGCATATGCGAGGGCTCCCAGAACCAACTCACCTCTAGAACCTTCGCCTTTCAAATGGTTGGTGTGGTCGGAAAGTAGGCAAAATTAGATAATTTTCAAATTTATATAGAATTGATACATAATTTAAATCCTTTCATTCTATATAGTGATTTTTAAATTTTCTTTTAAAGAACTGCTGCAACCATTGACAGCTTGGCAAGTCGAATTGAAGACCCCCAGATCCAGGCCCATTGGTCAAACATCAACGATGTCTATGAGTCGAGTGTAAAAGTCTTAATCACATCTCAGGGTTATGAACAGATCTGCAAGTAAGTGTCACCAGTAAGTCCCACAGACAGCTTGCTGAGCAGCTGTTTGTATCCTTCTCCAAGGGATTCTACAAGCCTCAGGGTTTTTTGTTATGGGCCATGAATTTCTATAAATTATATCACCTATAGCATATTTGCAAACACAAGAGGTTAGGGGTTGGAGAGATGACTAAGTGGTTTAAAGTTTTTTTTTGTTTGTTTGTTTGTTGTTTTTTTTGTTTTGTTTTGTTTTGTTTTGTTTTTTCGAGACAGGGTTTCTCTGTGTAGCCCTGGCTGTCCTGGACCTCACTCTGTAGATCAGGCTGGCCTCAAACTCTCAAACTCAGAGATCCGCCTGCCTCTGCCTCCCAAGTGCTGGGATTAAAGGCGTGCGCCACCACCACCTGGCTGGTTTAAAGTTTTCTTCCACAGAAGAAACTGTTCCTAGCAACCAAGTCAGGTGGCTCACAACTGCCTGTAACTCCAGCTCCAGGGAATCTTAGGTTCTCTTCTGACCTCCAGGGTGCCTGCACATATGTGGCATACACGCACATATCTCCTAAGAGCCACATACAATCTCATGTTTACAGTTTTGTGTTGGTCTATCCTTGGCCACATGGCAGCCTGTGGGCGATGAGTTGAACATGCCTAGCATCTACACATTGAGCGGAAAGCTACCTCACTTGCTAAGGTACTCGCCAAGCCTGAGTCAGTTCCGGCCTAGGGGCTGTGCAAGTCTGTTGTGTCAGGAGTGAGAGGACTGTGGACGCCTGCACTCAGCCTAGTCTGCTGAGGGTAGTCTGCGTTAGTTAGGTTGTTAGGACAACCCTGGCCTGGTGTTGTCGTTGGTTCTGATCCATTAGTTGATTGTACCTCTAAACCAGGTTGACTATTGTGTGTCTGTGGAATAGCAGCATCGTCCTTGTCCCAGCATTCTTAGTCAGATGCTTGAGCAAGGTATATGTCTCAGAATGCTTGCTTGGATTCTATAATAAAGCTAGGTGTGCTAGTACATAGCTCTAATCCCAGAGCTTGGGAAGTAGAGGCAGGAAGAGCACAGTGAGGTCAAGACCAGAATGGGCTTTACAAAACAAGATATCTCATCTTTAAAAACTGCAGTAAGAAGGCACATTTGTACCTGTTGGTCTGAGAGTCCCAGCCCTGCCTCTCCAGGCTCTGCAAGTGCTTAGATGCTTTATTTAAGACAGAGCAAACTGGCCACCATGAACAAAGCACTGTGACATGTAAAGTCGCTCCCTTGTGAAGGAGGAGCAGAAAATCTTTTGGGTTTTTTCGAGACAGGGTTTTTCTGTACAGTTCCGGGCTGGCCTCGAACTCAGAAATCCGCCTGCCTCTGCCTCCCAAGTGCTGGGATTAAAGGCGTGCGCCACCACCGCCCAGCTAGGAGCAGAAAATCTATGCAATACTGATTTTCAGTGTGGCAGTTTTAGTGAGTAAACGAGCATAAGATCAGATGCAGGAAGTAAAAGTAGGTGATGGAAAGGAACTAAGTATGTGTGTTTTACGTTTATTTCCTTATCTGGGACTTGGTGTGCATGCATTCCATGGTACATGTGCAGAGAGGTGTAGAGGACAGTCTGTAGAAGCTGGTTCTCTCCTTCCACAATGTAGGGACCTGGGATTGAATTCAGGTCCTCAGGCTTGGATGTAAAGAGCCCTTACCTACATTTTAAATCAGGGCCAGGCCCACATAGCTCACCACTTGGGGTTTAGGGGATGCTGCTGTGTCCATGTCCTGCTGTGACAACTCCAAGGGAAGACAGTCACCTGACTGACTAGCCTGCTGTAGAGCAGGTGCCTGTTGCAATCTGAGGAAGTCTGCCTTGGATTTCATTTGGTGGATGCTAAGAAACTACCGTCACCTGTAACATAAAAGTTGGTTTAGGTCATCAGAGCTGTTGCATCTTTGTGCATGCTGTTAACATGATGTAAAGTTGGGATTGTACCAACTAGAGTGTGTGTCTGTAGGTCCATCCAGCTACAGTTGAACATTGGTGTTGAGCATGTCCGTGTTGTGCACAGAGATGGGCGGGTGATTACGTTGTCCCATCAGGAACAGGAGCTACAGGACTTCCTTCTGTCTCAGGTAGGTTACACACTGTGCTTTGGTTGGAGTTTTGTTTATGTCTTTGAGATAAGTCTTAATGTAGCTCAGCCTAGCCTCGAATGAGTTGTGTAGCCCACTAGTCCTCCTGCTTCTGCCTCCTGGTTACTGGGATTGCAGGTGTGCACACATTCCTGGCCACACCTCAGGCCTTAAGTCCCTAGTTTCATTCATCGCTTAAGGAACAAACTGAGCAAGCAATAGCTGTAATGGTTACAGAAGGAGAGACCGTTTTTTCTGTATTGTCACTTCCTTCCAGGACACACTTTTGGTTCATAATCTGTCCTGGGTTTATTTGCACAATTGTTGGGGAATAGCCCCTCTTCAGGAAGGAGCAAGTATTAGCCCAAGGAAAGCAGAGAGAGGAAGACAGATGCAAACTATAGCAGCCACCATCCTATTATATTCATAGACAGCCATTAGACATAGACAGTGCAATGCTTTCTAGTCTTTGGCTCTGGAAAGGATTGCTCCTGTGAAAGGACACTGGAAAGTGCTGGCTTCTTGTCCCTGTTCCACAGACTTGTTTGGTAACACTGGAGTGCAAGAAAAGCAGTAGTTAGCCACCTTAGAGTTGAGAGTAGCTAGTAAAGTGATGAATTGTGGTAGAAAAGGGAGGGGTTTGTTCTAATGTAAAATAATGATTATTCACACAAATTAAGAAAAAATATGCTAATACTTTCCTCCAGGTGCGGTTCTCTCATAGAGGATTTGCCTCTTTGATGCCAGGTAATCAGGTGCATCTGTGAGGGACACAGCTGACTCAGCCCCCGTCAGTTACATCCTAAGTGGGTTTGCTTAGCTGAAGTGTATACACAGATGTGTTGGAGTGTCTCAGAGAGACTGGCACGTCTAGAGACCAAGGTCTGCAAGTGGACAGGGGTCAGAGAAGCAGGTAGTGATAGTGTTGCTGCCTGGTGCTGCTGCCTTTGCTGCTGGTGGCAGAATGCATTCCAGCAGGGTGGGAGTGAAGAACACGCGGGATGGTGTTTACTATGAGTCAGCTGACCATGTGGCTGTGGGAGACCCAGCAGTCATTTAGTGAGGCCTTCTGGCCTTGACCAGATGAGCAGGTTTTTGTCATGAGCTCTAGCTGACCTAGCCAGCCTCACAGGAACAAGTACCAGGAGCACAAGACCTGACCCACCGTGTTCCTTACTATTCTGCTGGCTGCATTGGGTAGCCCCCCAATGATGGTTCCATTGAAGCCAGAGAACACAGTAGACTGATGGGAAGTCTCCCCGGCAGAGAGTAGGGTAGGACTGTGTTTGAAGGGCAAACGGAAGATGCTTGGCACACTGAAACTTTGATGTTACTCCACATCCATTGATCCAGACAGGAAGCTGCAGCAGGCAGGCTTAGGGCCTGAGTCTGCACTCAAGCTGCCAGTAGACACAGACAGCACTAGACAGCCGCAGTTCTGCAGTGGAAGGAGGGCTCTACTCTCCTCTCTACTGGTCATATCACACAGAATTTCTCAAACCTGGGCCAGAGGTTGAGAACCCCAGCAAGCTTACAGTTACATCAGCTCACCAAAGTGTGCCTGTGAATCAGTCCTGTCTTTCTCATTCACAGATGTCACAGCACCAGGTGCATGCGGTTCAGCAGCTTGCCAAGGTTATGGGCTGGCAGGTCCTCAGCTTCAGTAATCATGTGGGACTCGGACCCATTGAGAGTATCGGCAATGCCTCCGCCATCACAGTGGCCTCTCCAAGCGGAGACTATGCTATTTCAGGTACTTTCCACTGCTCCAATGGAAAGGAAGCGCTTAACCTTCTCCTTTAGTATAACTAAATGTGCGTAGGAGGCACATGTATTTCTGTAATGAGTTGACATGTTCACACTGCTGTTATGTATACTTGTGTGTGTGTGTGTTAAGTGGGGAGGGTCAAGGAGACAGGGAACGTGTGTGAGAACTTACTGAGCAAACATTATCTTCAGTTATGCATCAGTTAAAACTTTATCAAAAAGGCTTCTTTCTTTTGCTTACTCTTTTCTTTCTGGGAGAGACTAGGTCATGTTTGCAGTTTAGGCTGGCTTTAGACTATGTAACGCAGGCTGGTGTTGAACTCACTTTGTGGCCAGGCCAGCCTCAGCCCTGTCTCAGCTTCTGAGGGTTTGGCTTCCAGGCATGTGCTACCACATCTGGCACATGTTGCCTAATTTATAGGGCAAATAATAGTTTAAAAATATTTAGATCATCTTAGAATGTGGATATGTGCAAAACTTTAGCATTTGGAGGTCTGACAAGATGTTTTAGCAGGAAAAGGCCCTTGCCACCAAGCCTGAGGACCTGAGTTTGATCGCAAGCCCCACATGGTTGTCAGATAGAACTGACATGGTTGTCAGTTGTCTTCTGACTTTCACACATGCATACATACACATGCATTTATACATATGCACATATATGTGCATAAAGTAATAAATAGATTTAATATTTTGGAACTGAAACATTGCCCTTGATCTCACTGTGTAGTCAGAACCAGTCTTGAACTCCTGATCCTACAGACTGCACCTCTCAGGTGCAGGGTTAGGGGTGTGTACTCTTAGGAGCTGCTCTTGAAACACTTGTGTATGAGATCGTCTAAGCTCTTGGGCAGGGTTTTCCATTACTTTCTAAGTCGCAAAGTGGATGTACTGATACTGGTTTCCTCAATAGTTCGCAACGGACCTGAGAGCGGCAGCAAGATTATGGTCCAGTTTCCCCGTAACCAGTGCAAAGACCTTCCGAAAAGTGATGTTTTACAAGACAGCAAGTGGGGTCATCTCCGCGGACCGTTCAAGGAGGTTCAGTGGAACAAGATGGAGGGCCGAAACTTCGTGTATAAAATGGAGCTGCTTATGTCTGCCCTGAGCCCCTGTCTGCTGTGATTTTCTCCAGAACAAGTTCCAGAAATACTGACTTGCCTGTTTGCAGATCGGTTATAAGCACAAGGGAAGATGTCTTCCATAGAAGTACTGAGCGCAGACTCATGTGCACTGGTGCTCCAGTCTTTCACGGGAGCCCTGTTTAAAAGTTACGTGTTTACCTTGCAGCTTGAATTCTCTCACTTTATAAGTGATGAGTACTTTGGAATGGAAAAATGTGTGTACAGTTATAGTATGCAGTATGGGGAGATGTAAAATAGTACATTTTTTTATACAGCTAACCTGAAAATATTACTAACTTAAGGGCTTGAATTTGCTTTTTTTTTTTTTTTTTAAATCCATCTTTAATGTTAACATAAACTTTGGGTTTAAAAATCTCCAAGTATTTTGTGAATTTCTTCTAACCTATATGAGCTGTGTCTCAAGTCAGCTACTCCTGCTGTTTCTTTAAAAATCACCTAAGAATATCTTACAGCACAGATTCACTGACCACACCAGGCCATCCCTGTCCCTGGAGTTCACCAAGATCTCTCACAGGAGTAGTCTTCCCTACTTGGGGGCCTTGGGGTGTTTGGGGACGTCAAGTGCTTTTGTAGCCATCTTCCTCAGTTGGGTCTACATGAACAGATTAAGAATTTCCTCAAAAAGCAGAAGAAACCAAACAGTGTACCATGATACAGTCTCTGTTTTCCCTGTTACTGGTCACTGTCTTTGGCTGTATAGAAACTTCCATAGAGCTGATGGTATTCCACTTGAAATTTGACAAGTTGAGATATAAAGGAGGTGCGCCAAGTGTGATGGCTCATGCCTGTAATCCCAGGACTAGGAAGTTGAAGACAGGAAGATCAAGAGTTCAAGTTCAGCCTGATCTGCATGAGTTCCAGGCCATCTGGAACTACATAGGGAGAACCTTGTCTCAAGGTAAAAATAGAAAGGAAGAAACAAAAGGGGTTTTAGTAAACCAAATATATTCATGCTATGGATTATGTTTTGCAAGGGGGAAAAGAGTGAAATTTAATAGGGAAAAACAAAGTGAGGTAATGCCAAGACACATCTGGAAATGCAGACAGGTCATGTGTATAACAGACACATCTGGAAATGGAGACAGGTCATGTGTATAACAGAGTCCATGGGTGGGGGTATAGTCCAGCGGGAGAATGCCTAGCATGTATGAGCACTCAGATTCAAGCTCCAGAATTATAGAAAGAGGGGTGGGTGGATATGACCATTGGAATGTGTACTGTAATGTATAGACATGATTGTGTATATGTTTGTCTAGAAAGATTCTGTGAGAAGTGAGGTTGAGGAGAGAGAACACTATATTGGGGACGTGTGTATCTTCTGACTTCAAGAAGCATTATTTTTGCAATTACAGATTCTTGAAAGGCAAAAGAAAGCATGACTTCAGCTGTCCTTAAGGATAGGCAGCTGAAGCCGGGCAGTGGTAGCGCACGCCTTCAATCCCAGCACTTGGGAGGCAGAGGCAGGCGGATTTCTGAGTTCGAGGCCAGCCTGGTCTACAGAGTGAGTTCCAGGACAGCCAGGGCCACACAGAGAAACCCTGTCTCGAAAAACAAACAAACAAACAAAAAGATAGGCAGCTGAGATGGTGGTCACATGCAGAAGCACATATATTGACAGTCCACCCCTCTTCTGAGTAAAACTTGATGTATTGTGGTAACAGTAGTTTCTCAGTTAACTCTAGAGGTGTCTGATGTCAGGAAACAGCGTAATACGCCAATTCTGATAAATGACAGCTGGAGGAAAGAGCCTTCACTGCCCTGGTACCATGGGAGTTGTCAAGGCAACTGCATCTGAGACTGTTTCTGAAAGTCACCTGTGGTGCTTTGAATGTAATTGGCCCCCATAGACCCATAGAGAGTGGCACTATTAGGAGGTGTGCCCTTGCTGGAGGAAGTGTATCACTGTGGGGTTGGGCCTTGAGGTCTCATATGCTCAAGGTACACTCCGTGTACACAGTTTCTCCTTGCCTGTGGATCAAGACAGAACTCAGAGCTCCATGTCCAGCACGTCTGCCTATACGCTGCCCTGTTATCTGCCATGATAATAATGGAATAAACCTCTGAAACTGTAAGCCAGCCCCATTAAATGTTTTGCTTTGTAGGAGTTGCTGTGGTCATGGTGTCTCTTCACAGCAATAAAACCCTAACTAAGACACCACTCCATCAATGACATTTGGTTCTCTCATCATTCTGTGGCACTCCACTTGCCATTTGCCCATGGTCACATTTCTTCAGCCATTCTGAATGGTGTCCTCCTCAGGCTGTGTCTCTACATTCTTGTACTGGCCAAGATATCCTGGCAACCTTACCTCACTGTATCTGTGCTTCACTGTGGTATTGCTTCCAGTTATGCCTGAGATTGTCTTAGGCAGTTACTGTCATTGTGGGCCAGTAAACTTTGCACCAGAAAACTTTTTTTTTTAAAGATTTTAAAAAATTATGTATATAGCATTCTGTCTACATGTATGCCTGCATGCCAGAAGAGGGTACCAGATCTCATTATAAATGGTTGTGAGCCACCATGTGGTTGCTGAGAATTGAACTCAGGACCTCTGGAAGAGCAGAGAGTGCTCTTAACCTCTGAGCTATCTCTCCGGCCCAATACCAGAAAACTTACATGAGCACAACATACACTTCGTAGATTTTTAGCTCATGCTCTCTGAGGAGACACCAGTATGTTCTACAAAGCAAAATATGCACCACTGCTGTATGTGGTGGCATGGCAGTCTCCTAGTTTCCACCCTTTCCAGAGGGAACAAGGACTCTAGAATTACTGTTAAAATTCTGGAAGAGGGGACTAAAGAGGAGGCTCAGTGGTTTAGAGCTCTGACTGCTCTTCCAGAGGTCCTGAGTTCAATTCCCAGCAACCACATGGTGGCTCACAACCATCTGTAATGGGATCTGCTGCCCTCTTCTGGTGTGTCTGAAGACAGCTACAGTGTACTCATATATATATATATATAAAATAAATTTAAAAATAAAGTGCCCATGGTTAAAAAAAAATTCTGGAAGCACACATTTTAAAAATGGTCTTCTGTCTACAACACAACAGGTTGTTGCACCTTGATTTGTTGTTGGGGCCTGAGGAGGAGAGGTAGCTAATGTTTTTGTCCTCCCAAGAAAAGGAATTTTCGAAACAAGTCCTTACTGCCACATGAGGAGTAAAAAAGATATGGGCATTGGGGACCTGAAAGAGGGGAAAAAAAAAAAAAGGAATACTCTATATACACTTTTACCTTTTTATGTATGGATCTGCAGCCCAGGCCCTGCACACAACCACTGACCCCAGCTTCCATCATAGTTGGAGTGGCGGTGCCTTTGAGCTGCCGCTGTGCATCAGAAGCAAGAAGGGAGGGGATGCTTGCAGCTAGAGCTTGGAAAAATGGAAGCTGGGAAGAAGACCCTTTCAGGTAAACCTGACAACAGTCTGAGAGTGTGAAAGCTGAGGCCAACAGAGACCTAACCCCCAAGCTCATCTGGAGCTCCTGATAACCCGGGTCACTGAAGAAACAAACTTGTTTAAATTTATTTTTTAAATTTTATTTCACGTGGATGAATGTTTTGCCTTCACATATATTTGTGCACCGTGTGCATGCAGTACCCGTGGGGGCCAGAAGAGGGAGGCAATCCCTGGAACTGGAGTTACAGAAGGTTATGAGCTACCATGTGGGTACATGGAATTGAATTAGGGTCCTCTGCAAGAACAGCAAGTGCTCTTAGGTGCTGAGCTTCTCTAGCCCCATCACAGGGCATTTTAATCTTTGCTCTGCAATACTGCCCTTTCTCAACTAGCTTTCCAGATCCTTCAAGGTTTTGCATGCTCTTCTTAATCCCTCCCAGAGGTCTAGGCTAATACTGGCTCCTCCTGATGCCATATGAGGTAGGTGAGTACCACATGCTCCCCTGCCCGGGATCTGACTGGAGACTTGAAGTGTTGATGATTGAATAGGGTGAAGCTGGATGAAGCCATAGAGATTTTACTTCTGTCATCCAACTACCCCTAGTTAACTTAAGCCATGTTTTTCTCATAGTAACCCAAGTTTAGGCTACTCAATTAATTTTGTATGAGGGAGGATGAGATCAATGTCTTCTGTTCCCTGTGCCCAAAGCTGGTCCCTTGGCGCACTTGGCTGGTCCCCATGAGGTACAGTTCACATCATCAGACTGCCTCAGTGCCTCAGGCTTGCTCGCAGAGCACAGAAGAACAGAGAACATGCTCCGGTGCTAGCTGCACATCAGCCCCTCTGCAGACACCTTGGCTCTGGAGACAGGAACTCCTTCAACAGGCCAGTGTGAGACTGCAGCCTGTATTGTAAGTGGTGGCAGGTGCCTGCCTGTGTGAAGGGTCAACATGGCCCTGAAGCTGCAACCAAGGAAAGTTCCTGGTTGAAGCCTCAGCTGTTTCTTTGTGCTGCAGGCAAGCCGTGGAACTGGCTTTTATAAGTAAGCCATCACTTCCAGATCCACAGTCAGCTTTCGTATCTCCCAGCTGTCTCATCAGGAAAGGGGTGAGAAAGCTGCAGCAAGGATTGGCTCGGTTTGTTCCTTCCACTGGAAAATACTGTTTTTCTCTTGAGGTAGCAATGTAGTTGGGCCCAGTCTTGGCTAACATTCAACATCTTTCATCTCAATCTCCTCAGTGGTGCTTTCTACGAAGCAAAAGACAAGTCAAGGACAACCCCTTTTGGTTAGATACATGATCATAAAGACCTAAATTCAGAGCCCCAGAGCCCACGAAAGAATTCCAGGGCACACATCTGTAATCCCAGTGCTCAGGGTGTGGATGGAAACAGGCAGATTCTGGGGATTATTGGCCAGCTGGTCTAGCCAATCAGTGATCTCCAGGTCAGAAAGAAATTCTGCTTCAAAGATTAGGGGTGGAGTGTGCTTGAGGAAGACACCTAATATTGACCTGACTTACACACATGCACACATGCACACACTCAACAAGAGATTGAGAATCTGCCACGGGGTGGCTTCTTGGTGAAAATGAGGTAACAGAAGCCACCTATGGCCTCGAAAGCACGAAGGGATTACCGCCCGGCCCAGAGCATTACCTTTGAGTTTGTACCTCCTCTTCCTCTGGAATTTATACGCACACTGATTGCAGACCCACATGAGGCTGATTAGCACCACAGCCACAGCAGAAAGGAGAGCAAAGAAGACAGCAACGAAGTGGAGGTCTTCGTAGCGGATCTCTGGGGTGGGACAGGAGGGAAGGCAAGGTCTCTCTTAATACTACAATGTCGCCCACCTGTGCCTGTAGCTCAGGGAGCCCTGGGGCTCTCTTACCAGACACATGCAGCAAGATGGTGCCGGACTGGCTGCTCCCCGGGCGCTCTGTGACAGTGATGACATAGTAGCCAGAATCCCTCACACCCACACTGAAAAGCTGGATGGAGCCATTGTCAAAGGTGCAGACTCTGTCTCTGTGGCTTTGGGAGACATTGGCTGGGGTCCCTGGCTTCCACTCCACAATCTTCTGCACACCCCAATTAGGCGTGTACTTCCACTCAATAGTGGGCACGCCATGGCAGATGTAGTCCACTGACAGCAGGATATCTTCTTGGACAGTGGCGTTGATGGCTGACTGTGGAATGTACAGTGACACACCCTGACCTGTAGAGCACACATCAGTTTCTTCATGAGCATGGACTGAGCACCTATAGTAATCACATGCCAGGTAAACAGACACAGCTCCTTAGCTCTGTTCTGTATTCAGCGAGGGGTGGAACACTAGGGACCGACAGAGTGGCCCGGGCACTGACGATGACAAGCAAGGATAACTGTGAGCAGTGGAGGTGGACACACAATGGTTTGGGAAGACTTCCCTGGGGAAATCACATTTGAGTTCAGACCCAATGGGCAAGCAAGAGGAAGTAGCCCCTGTGAAGGAAAGTATGAGGTAGATATTTTTTGGCAGAGATGAAGAGAGCTCTGGCATCTGTGTGCTGAGGGTGAACATGGTGTGTTTTAAGTGTGGCCAGGACTGGGAGGCAAGGAACACTGGGCAGGGCTTAGAATGAAAAGCTAGAGAACTGGGCAGGAGCCCAGACTGACAATGTCAGGAATTCAGGCATCATGGGAACTGCAGAGTACCTTAAGCCCAGCCATGATGCTAATATCTCCATGGAGAACAGCCTGAGAGCTAACAGGTGAGAGTGGGAACAAGAGAGGCCACCAGGTGGTTACTGAAAGAGAGAGATAGGGAATTAAAAAGGACAGGGTGATTTAGGACTTGCTTTAGAAACACCTGGGCCGAAGCACAATGACCAACTAGGTGTAGCTGTGGGGTTGGATAAGGCAGAGAGATATCTGCGGAGTGTGTAAGGGAATAGCAGTGCCCCAGTTGAACAGGTGTGTTTCACATGTACTAAATAGGTACTATGTCGCACAATGCACATCATGCACCAGGCCCCACACTGTTAAAGTCTCCCATAATCCATTGCCAGTTAATCAGTGGTTAAGCCTCAGGCTCATCATGACTAAAAAGTCTGCCCAGGATCACTCTGCAGGACTGAGGTTTACACACGGGCAGCTGACGTCAAAGCTCAAACATTTATAGCGTGTCTCAACTAGGAGGCCAGTAGCTGGCAGTGGAGGGGACAGAGTGTGACAGGTGCCTCCTACATACAGGGAGGCTAGAGACGGGAGGGGAGTGAACGGGGCAGGATGCAAGCCTGGTGTGCTGCCTAGTTCGATGTCAACTTGACACAAGCTTCAGTCATTTGGGAAGAGTGAACCTCAATTGAGGAAATCCCCCACCCCCATCATATTAGACTGTGGGCAAGCCTGTAGTGCATTTTCTTGATTAATGATTGATCTGAGAGGGTCCATCCCACTGTTGGTGGTGTCACCTCTGGAAGGGTTCTGGCGTATTAGAAGAAAGCAGGCTGAGCAAGCCATGAGCTAGCGGGTAAGCAGGGTTCCCCTCTGCTTCAGCTCCTGCCTCCAGGTTCCTGCCTTGAGCTCCTGCCCTGGCTTCCTTCAAAGATGGCCCGTGATGATCAAGAGTGAATGAAATAAGCCCTTTCCTTCCTAAGCTGCTTATGGTCACGGTGTTTTATCACCGCAGTGGAAACCCTAACTAAGACCCTTAGTTCCCACCTTTCTTTCTTGTTTAGCTTTCTCATCTTCGGGTACCCAGCTACCCCAGGTCCACACTGTCGGTTGTAGAAAACCCAACATGAAATGTTTCCAGACCCTTTCTATTGTCCTCTGTCACTGAGAACAGTTTCCTTGTACCCATTTTCTAGGGTGGCCGGAATTTCATGCTTTAAAAAAATGGGTAGGAGGGCCACTGAGATGGCTCAGTGGGTTAGGGGACTTGTCACCAAGCCTGATGGCCTGAGTCCAGGCCCTGAGACCCGCGTGGTAGGAGAGAACAGATTCCTTCAAGTTGTCCACTGAGCATGTGTATGTACCTTTTCCACACAAAATAAATAAACACAGTAAAAAAGAAATGTTAAAATGGTAATAATGGCTATCTAGAGTGATTCTGCCAAGAAACAGGAGTGCATATACTCTCTCCCTCTGATATTACCATGCAAGAATGAATATATATCTGATTTCTGTCACCAGGTCCTGTCACTCAGCTCCTAAAACTCTGGACTTTCTAGAGCAATGGGAGTGACAGGGAGCCTCTCTGTATACACATGACACAATTGGTGGCCAGCGACTCCTAGAAAGTTTCAGGAATGGAACTGGTCACCAGGAAAGGCAAGGAGTAGCTGGAATGCTAGAGCTTTGAGCCCCTCTTCCATCGTCCAGGGAGGGGAGGGGGCTGATCGGTAAGCTTCTTCCAGTGGTCCATGCAGTCATCAATGCCCACATGGAGAATCGTTTGCAAACCCCTAAAGGACAGTATTCTGGGAGCTAAACACACAGATGCCCACAGGAGAGCTCACTCAGAAAGGGTAAAAGTTCTGAAGCCCCCCGACACCCGTTTCCTGTGTCTGTCTTCCCCTGGTGCCCACCTGCAGCCTGTGTAAGCTCCTCATGAATGGGTAAATGTAAAGACAGTGTTTCTACATGCTGTTCTAGCAGATTTTTTTTTCTCACAAAGAGTGGGCTGGGCAGTTGAAAGCATGGGGGACAATTTGGGACATTTTAAAAACAGATTTATTTGTCTTTGCTTTGGGTGTGTACGCTGTCTGCATATATGTCTATGCACCATGTACACATGGTACTGCAGAGGCCACAAAAGGGTGTCAGATCCCTTGAAAATGGAGTTACAGATGAGAGCTGCTTCCTGACCAAACCTCTGACCTCTGCAGAAGCAGCAAGTGCTCTTAACAGATCCACCATCTCTAAAGCCCCAACCTGGGCTTTTGATTGGCATTTGAAGTTGAGGGCAATCTCGGGGACTGAACCATAAAAAAGTATGTTACAGCCGGGCGGTGGTGGCACACGCCTTTAATCCCAGCACTTGGGAGGCAGAGGCAGGTGGATTTCTGAGTTCGAGGCCAGCCTGGTCTACAGAGTGAGTTCCAGGACAGCCTGGAACAGAGAAACCCTGTTTTGAAATACCAAAAAAAAAAAAAGTACGTTACAGGCACCCTGAGACTTTGCCTGAGAGCAGATGTTCTCAGACACATGCACACCGTCATCCACCCCTGAGATTTAGCTTTGGGATAATACCATTTTAGTAGTCCATGTTAATGTATTTGCAGATGTGGCTATGTGTGTGTATGTGCAATGTGTGCTATGGTGCATGCATGGAGGTCAGAGGACAAATTGTGGGAGTCAATTCTCTCCTTCCACCATGTGAGTCCTGAGGATCAAACGGATTGTCAGTGCTGGTGGCAAGCACCTCTACCCACTGCCCCATCTCTCTGGCCCCATGGATAATGCTACTTCCTAGTGCCAGTGTATCTTCAGAGTTCCTTATTTGTTCACAGAATTGCGTTCCTACACAGAATCCACTCTCTGCATTTGGTCCTTATGCCTTGCTAAACTCTTTAATCCAGCAAAGCTTCTCCCCCTTAGAAATGGCATGAGACGCTGGGCAGTGGTGGTACACGCCTTTAATCCCAGCACTTGGGAGGCAGAGGCAGGCGGATTTCTGAGTTTGAGGCCAGCCTGGTCTACAGAGTGAGTTCCAGGACAGCCAGAGCTACACAGAGAAACCCTGTCTCGAAAAACCAAAATAAATAAATAAATAAATAAATAAATAAATAATTAAGGCATGAGACTTTCATGACAATATTTTGAAACATTTCACTCTAGGCTTGTTTGGAAACAAGGTAAAACCACTTTTTTGAACTGATTACATTTTAGGGAAGCCCTGGCCGGTGCAACAGAGACTGCCTGCCAGTGATAAGCTTAGTGCGGGAACCTGGCGGGAGCCAGCCAGATGCCTCTTTTCTAATATCTCCTGCTACACCCTCATGTTTCAAAGCCAAAGAATGAGAAACATTGTCATCTGTCACCATGGCAGACTGGTGAGGGGCCCTCTGAGGGTCAGTGTTGAGCTCTCTGAAATGCAGAATTAAGGAAACCACCCAGAGTTACTGGACTTCCTGAATCCCGTGCTCCACCACTTGTGGTGGCCACCTTTGGACAGAAGCGTGGCCTGGTGCTATGCTCAGGTGGAGTTCAGCCTCTCCAAGTATAAAGACTCTTCCTGGCCAACCTTCCCTTCAGATGGGAATTCTAAGAGCTCAGCTTGCAGCCTCTGCCAGGGCTTGTCCTCAAAGGACCCTGTTCTCTGCTGAAAGCTGCCTCTGCTAGGTCTCATGGCTCCTTCAGGAAGCTGCCCTTCACTCCAAGCTAGAATAGCAATGCAAACCTCAGAAGTTGTTCAGGGCTGGAGTGCTTTAGCTCGCTAAGGACCACTCATGACTGCTGGCCATTCTCTCTCAGGCCGGTGTGATACAGTTAGTTATCCTTTAACAAACAACACATGGCAGAGTTCAGGCTCCTGGAATAAATAAGAAAACTGAGGTCAAATTCCAGGTCAGCCTCGGAGGCCGGACTCCTGTACTCAGCACAATTTGGAGTACAGGGTGGCTGACCCATCAATGTCTGTTGAGTCAATGAATATGTGAGTGGCCGTGAGAAGTGCCAGCTCCCCTCCCCTCACCATGAAAGCTGCTGCGTGGCGGTTGGGAAGATCAGGCTCCTCTAACCAGTGTGTGGGAGGGCAGGACTGGTATTAAGGGTTCTTTTTTTTAACTTATTTGTGTGCATGTGAGTGTGAGTGTATGTATGTGTGCATGTGTGCGTGTGTTTGTGTATGTGTGTGTGAAAGAGAGAGAAAGAGAGGGAGAGAGAGAGAGAGAAGGTGTATATGTGGGGAGGGGAGTTGGTTCTGGGCATCAAACTCAGGTCCTCCGGCTTGCACAAAGTGCTTTTACCTGCTGAGCGCTCCTACCAGCTTAGAATCTAGGCTTTCTATGCTTGGTGCAGTTTACAAGATATCTGCGTGTCTGCATGTCTATGCATATATGTAAGTATCTATCATCTACCTACTAATTATCTACCTAGTGTCTAAGCATGTCTGAATATATGTAGCATCTATCAACACTTATCACTACCTACCACCTATTTGTTACTATACCATCTTCATTTATCCATCCTCCACCTATTACCTTCTACCTACTGTCATCCATCTATAA